AAATTCATCCAGGGAACCAGATGGCACTTATATTTCTTGATGCACAAAAAGCCTTTGATAACTTAAATTGGCAATTTATGTTTCAACAACTTCAAGAAATGGACTTTGGTGAAAATTTTAACAAAGCAATTCAAGCAATTTATAAGAAACAAACAGCAAGAATACTTTTAAATGGAGATTATACAGATGGATTTGAGATAAAAAAGGCACTAGACAGGGATGTCCACTGTCTCCCCTGTTATTTATTCTTACATTAGAGTACTGGCAAGAAATATTAGACAAGATATAGAAATTAAAGGTTTGGAGATTAAAGACCAGAAATATAAACTACAGGCCTTTGCGGATGACTTGGTTTTTATTTTAGAGGAACCATTGGAAACAGCTGATAAACTCTTGCAGAAAATTGAGAAATTTGGAGAAGTAGCTGGTCTGAAAATAAATAGGGAAAAGACTAAAGTATTAACAAAAAACCTAACAGATAAACAGAAAATTTAACTTGCTAAAATGACAAACCTTCAAATAGTTTAAAAAGTCAAATATTTGGGCATTTATTTAACTGCAAAATATACCACATTAAAAGAAGATAATTATGAGAGATTAATGAAACAAATAAAAATAGACCTGGAAAGATGGGGAAATCTTCAATTATCACTCCTAGGAAGAATAGCGACGGTTAAGATGAACATTTTACCAAAGCTAATTTTTTTATTCCAAACAGTTCCTATTAAACTTAGAGACACATTAAACTTAGAGACACATTAGAACCTGAAAAGGACTGAATATTTCAGAATAGATGATTGATTTTTAACCAAGTTCTAATTAATAGGTTGATGACATTGTTATTTTTAGTGATTTAATGATTTTTATCTGTTAATGTTGATAGTCAAGATTTTTTGAGATTTTATTATTTGTGTTTATTTAATAGATGAACTTATTTGTTTATTAATTGTTTGTAATACGGCTATAGTTAAGCTTATTTTAAAAATGGTTGAGTATGATATTTACTCGTTATTATGACCCGGACAGTAGCTTGTTTGTTAAAATATGAGATTGTACCTATCCTTATTTTATCCTAAATCCCCTATTCCCTTCCCCCCATCCCCTTTCCCTACCATACCCATATTGTTCCTATTTTTTCCTTCAATAAAATATTGTTTAAAAAAAACATGGTTCTCCTCTAAAATAGTTTCTGAAATTCCCTCGCATATTGCTTCTGCTATACTGCTACCACTTTGAAAATTTGAAGGGAGCAGGCTTCTGGTTTTGATGTTGCAGCAGGAAGATGAGGCTCCGTCTTTTGCATTTGATTTCGCCCCGCTGAGGGACCCTGGAAAGGGTCGAAAGTCACTCCGTAGAGGTGACAAGCAAGGAGGGAACCCTTGTTGATTGCAGGGGGTGGGGTGACAGCCCTCCCATTTGATTCAAGGAAGCCCTCCAAACCAGCGGGGAAAAGACTGGCTACATTTGCATAGCCAGTCCTAAGCTGCTGATAACGGAAGACAATAAGCACCAACAAGCAACTTTACAGCAACGTGGATGAAACTGGGTGAGACCTGATCCTCTCTTTATGATTTTAAGACCTCTTCCTGAAAAACTGCCCAAAGCATTCCCCCCAATGAGAGAGGGAAGGGGAATTTCTGCCCCATTCCCTCAGGAAAAAAAAGTGGTGATTTAATTACTTGGGGAAAATGGAGAAAACTACAGGACTAAGTTGGAATATATATATATATATATATATATATATATGGCTTGAAAATTTGAGGACTAAACGTGCTTTTAAGACCTTTTTTTTTAAAAAAAGAGAGACTTGACAAGTCTGCAATATAAGTTTTGGATTTAAAAAAAACTGAAAATGGCAACAATGACAACTAGTGGTGAATTTACAGCACTACAACTTATTATGCCTAAAAGAAACCTGTCTCAAAGCCCAGATTTAGATAAGACTCTGGCTGGACTTGAAAGCTTTTACTTTTGAAGATTGTAGGTGAGAAAGAAAAGGCTTGGGGGCTGCTTATCTGTGTGGCAGAGACGATAAACTATTCTAAAATTGGCCTGTCTGAACTACAAATACAAATACTGACTTTCAGAACTGTATTGTGGAACTATTTTCTTATAGAAGAAATATACACTGTTGCCTGATATGATGGAACATTTTGGATTTTAAATCTTGACTGATAAACAACTTTTAATGGTTCTTTCTTCTCCCTGGACAGAAAAGATATATTTCTCATTGGACAGAAAAAAATGAATTTCACTTATATTTGCTTAGGGGAGGTTTAAGAAAGGATTGATAAGTTGGTTGGATAATCTGGAGCTCCAATAATAATTAACTGAAACTTTCTAAGTTTTCAAACAGATTTCTATAAAGGCTATTTACAAAAAATAAAATATGTTCCATATTTAGCACTAAATGGTAAAAAAACCATCCTTAACATCTGTTTCCAGAAGCCTCAGTTTGACATACCACCAAGAAAATACTGATGAATCACAGAAAGAAATTCTCTCCATGTTGAAATTAATACAAGAAACAATTGCCTTAGTTCATGATGAGATTAAAAATAACACAAAGGAGATAAAAGAACAATTTTCTAATTTAAATCTACAAACCCAGAAAATAACCACAGAGAAGGAACTAGCAACCCAGAAAATAGGAGGAAAACTAGAGAAAGCTAGAGAAACTAAAGATGGAGGACCAAAGGAAAAAACTAACGGCCAGACTCAGACAAATGAAGAATTAGAAGACATAACGATAATATTAGAAATGGAAAAGACATTTTATCAACCAAGATTTCAGAGTATACTGGAGGATAAGGAAGGAAAGCTGATGAAATGGAAGATAGAGCTGTTACCAGAACTGTGGGGAATTGGAGAAGGAGGGAGACTGTTTAATGAATATCAGTGAGCTAGCTCTTCCAAAAATACTTTAACTAAATTGTTTCTTTTGCTCCAAATAATATGCACAAAAATAGAGGAAGAATTATTTGATGATCCAAATGCATTGACTTGGAAAATTAGTTGGCAAAGGAAGAAAGCTAGAGTAAGACTGAAGAAAACAGAAGCTTTGACCTATTAGAGGGGATATTATATTATCAATTAGATGTTTGAATATGGTTAAGAATAGATTGCTAGAAATAGAAATATTATTATGACTAGATAGATAAGATTGGTAATCAGAATATCATATTTTGGCATGAAAAGGGAAATAAGAAAATTCTAAGAAGTTTGAATAAGGGAAGCTTTTGGTTACCCAAATATAACTTGTTTTGAAACTATAAATTATTGGGATATTTTGAATATGGATGGGAAATTAAAACTGGAAAAAAAAAAAGCAAAAATAGGATACTAACTGAATAAATGGATATTGAGTGCAAATGCAATTAAGATATGTTTTGGTTAGAAAAGATATTTTAAACTGATATTGATATTATTATAAAACTGTAATAAATGCTGATATCTATTAATAACAATAAGAATTGCATTTGCTTAATGTGGAAAAATGTTTATTATTGGAAGAAGAGAGGAGATATTGGATGGTGTAATACTGGACTTAGCTTGAAGAAACTTATATGTACCACGGAATTATTAATGGACCCAGTCAACACATTGTCTATTAAGCACTTATTTGTAAAAATAGAAAATTAATAAAATATTTATATATAAAAAAGAAAATTTGAAGGGAGCAGTTGTTAAATTAAAGATTTTCATTGTGCAGCAGTCATTATTTTAGTCTTTTTAATTAATTTCTGTAATGTTTGAAGTAATTTTATTCCTGAAGTTTTCACTTCTGCTGCTTTAAACTGGTATTTTAATGCAATATGTTTTATTTTTTAATATGGGTTTTATTTGTGTTCCAGTGGATACTTTTGAGACTTTGCTATATAGTGACTCACAAATTTTGAAATATTAACCCTCTCCCTATTATTATGTCTCACATTTCTGTGGTTAACATGTAAGACTTCTTCATTTAATAGCTGGATAATTAATATTGCCATATTTAAAAAAGTGTTATGTTTAATATAGAAATTTCCATTTTTTTCCCGTAACAGGTCCAGATGGATATGGAACATCAGGTTTTCCAGGTGTTTTGGGTGAGAAGGGTACAGCAGGAGAGCTGAGCCCCATTGAAGGCAGCAGAGGACCTCCTGGTCAGAAGGGGCAAAGAGGGGATCCAGGTTAGTTTATTAGCCTCACAATTAATAAAATGCTTTCATTTTTTTCACAGATACAAACATTTATTCCAAATCTCATATCAGAAAGTACAGTTGTACTTACATGAAAATCTGTATTTTTTATAAATGTATTGCAAGTTTTACAGCTGCAAGAACCATTTAGCTCAGTGGTTCTCAACCTTTTTAATGCCGCAACCCCCAACCGGTCGTAAGTCGAGGACTAAACCGGTCGTAAGTCGTGGACTAAACCGGTCATAAGTCGAGGACTACCCAACCAGTCGTAAGTCGAGGACTTTCCCTGCCCGGGAGCGCCGCGCATGCGCGGTTCCGCCCCCTGCGCTGGCCGAGGTGTAGCTGGCAAGCAGCAGAGATGGAGCAGGCCGACCACCAGCTGGCCCAGCCCAAGGGAGGTAAGGCACCCTCCGGAAAAGGGAAAAAAATGGCGGACAAAAAAAAATGGCAGACAAAAAAAATGGCGGACAGCCTTGCTTGGCGACCCCCGTGAAATGGTCGATCGACCCCAAATGGGGTCCCGACCCACAGGTTGAGAACCACTGATTTAGCTCATATTATATTCAGTTAGTAAGCTAAAAAAAAGTAGGATAGATAGCATCACCATCAGATGGATTTGTAACTGGCTGACAATGTACTCAAGAGTAGTCCTTAATGGTACTGTGATGACCCAGGGCAGGCACAGAGACAACACAGTCAGCTGACAGGTCAAACTGCCCCTTTATTGCTCCAAATGTTCCCCAACTGCTCCCACGTTTCTGGCAAGTCCCAGAGCAAAGTGAAGACACACACACCTCCAGCAGCCTCTGGCTGCAAGTAGTCCAGTGCAAAGCTGTGAATACAACAGCTGCCAAAACAAGAAATCCAGCAGGGCAAGGGATTAAATCAATGAGTCCAGGAAACAAAGGAGCAAGGCAATTAATCCAGGAAGCGTCCAACGTTGGCAACAGCACACAACCCTCCATGAATTCAGCATTTATTCCTGACAAATGTGCCTCCCCACAGTGTCTCTTTAAGTCTCAGTCCCCAGGTGTGCCTTGTGGAGAGGAATGGGGCACTCTCCTCCCAAGTAGGCGAGTCAGCCTGTGCTGTTCCCGCCTTCTCTCCACTCTCTGTGCTCGAGGATCAGGAGGGGGTGGTCCTTGCTCATTGCTTGAGCTCTGTCTCTCATGTTCACTGCTTAGCCTCTCTTGGTCATCCTGCCTGTTCCTCCCTGCCTACAAGCCATCCCAATCCTGAAAGGCCCTGGCCTGCCTCAGCCTGCTCCTCCCCATATTCCTCCAAAGCCAACAACTCCTTCCCCTCAATCTCCGTTGGCTCCAGTTCCGGCTCATCTTCTTCCGCAGGCTCCGACGGCATGAGATACTACCTCTACATGGAGAGAAGTAAGCAATTGGGTACCACAAAGTTCCGTATTAGGCCCAGTACTCTTCAATATCTTCATCAATTACTTAGGTGAGGGAATAGAAGCGGAACTCATCAAATTTGCAGATGACACTAAGCTGGCAGGAATAGCCAACACCCTAGATGATAGGCTCAAGATCCATCTGGATCTTGACAGACTTGAACACTGGGCCCTATCTAACAAAATGAAATTTAATGGAGAGAAAAGTAAAGTCTTACACTTAGGCAAGAAAAACCAAGAGTACAAATATAGATTGGGTGAAACCAGGCTTAATAGCAGAACTGTGATAGGGATCTTGTAGTCTTAATGGACTACAAATATGAGCCAACAGTGTGCAACGGCAGCAAAAAAAGCCAATGCAATCCTAAGTGCATTAACAGAGGGATTCAATCAAGAACACTGAGGTACTAATACTACTCTATAAAGTCTTAGTAAACCCACACCTGGAATCCAGTTTTAGTCTCCACACTATAAAGAAGCTGTTGAGAAAATCAAGGAAAACTGTTATGTAGAGTACGATATGATAGAAATTGACTATTATTGATTGTTGTGAAATGTGAACCCAAACAACATGCTGTTTACTAAGCACCAAGTTGTTAGTTTTAAAAAAATCAATAAAATATATATCAAAAAATAAAAAAGCTGTTGAGACTCTAGAAAGAGTGCAGAGAAGAGCAACAAAGATGATTAGGGGACTGGAGGCTAAAAGATATGAAGAACAGCTACAGGAACTGGGCATGACTAGTCTAGTGAAGAGAAGGACCAGGGAGACATGTGTTCTAATATTTGAGGGGCTGTCACAGAGAGGAGGGGGTCAACTTATTTTCCAAAGCACCTGAAGGCCAGAGAAGGAATAACGGATGGAAACTGATCAAGGAGAGATTCTACCTAGAAATAAGGAGAAATTTTCTGACAGTGAGAACAATCAATCAATGGAACAGACTGCCTTCAGATGTTGTTGGTGCTTCATCACTGGAAGCTTTCAAGAAGAGACTGGACTGCCATTCTTCAGAAATGGTGTGGGGTCTCCTGCTTGGGCAGAGGGTTGGACTAGATGACTTACGAGGTCCCTTCCAACTCTGTTATTCTATTCTGTTCTAATATAAAGACTACCTAATTTTTCTTTTCTTTTCTAAAATGTCTATGCATCTCATACAAGATTGAAATAGTTTGATTTTAATAGCTTAAATTTGTATTTTCCAGAACTGAATATTTACAAATATTTGCTTGCTCTTACTTCCCAGCAAACCTCATCTCAACCTAAGAGTAACTTTGTGTCAGTCTCCAGTCTTAAAGGCTTTTTGTTACAACATACAGTACTGTAATTTGGTATAGTAGGAAGGAACAATTCTTTTTTTCACTTTATGCCTGACTGCCTGTCCTTCTGGTATAGCTGGCTTCAACCATTTCCAGATGAAATATTTCAAAATGGGAAGTTTTTTCTTTAGCTATAATGCATCTCCTAAAATTTTGACAATGTGTTTACTTTATTAACTAGTACAAGGAGTCCTCAACTTACAGCCACTCATTTAGGGATTGTTTGAGGTTAAGGACAACGCTGGGAAAAAAATGACTTCTGATGATTCTTGCACTTACAACGGTTACAGCATCCCTGTAATTTGGGCCCTGGGCAATCAGCATGGATTTATGATGGTTGCAGCATCCTGGGGTCACCTACAGCCTTCCTAAATGGCTTCCAGCAAGCAAACTCAATGGGGGAAGCCGGATTCACTTAACAACTGCATGCTTAATGACTGTGGTGATTCACTCACCAACTATGGGGAAGAAAAGGTCATAAAATCAGGTGCAACTCATTTAACAACTCTCTTGCTTAACAATGGAAGTTCTGGTCCCAATTGTAGTTGCAAGTTGAGGTCTACCTGTATTTATCCAGAAGAGCAGTTATCAAATTAAGGTATCTGCATTGCTGACTTAGCAATAAAGAGTTTGTATAGTGCAAGGAAAAGCAAAAACACAACAAAAGAACATTATTTGTCAACCAAAATCACTGAGCCTAGAGTATCTTACCACCTCTGCTGTTTTATTCCTGGTGTATTTAAAGCTACCGGTTTGTTTGTTTTTTCAACTATTGCTTTGTTTGACTTTGACCATCAGAAATCTAATATTTCTTGTCTTTTCATGACTCATTCCCAAAACTCAGAAACTTAAAAAATAAATAAATAAATTATGAGAGAAAAGTGCTACTTGAATGGGAAGGCATTTTCTGCCACTCTTAATGGCAGACTAAACCACCACCATATCATCAATGCCCTTCAATCCCAACTTGCTGTAACTAGGAGTAGTCTGGTAGAAGAGAGAATTCCCTTTGTTTCATAAGCCAGATCTCCATGGTAATATGCCAGGTTAGTTCTTTCATCCAGGAAAACAATGGATAATGTCAGGTTGATGATTTGTCTGCAATAAAGATTCATAAACTAGCCCAGTGGTTCTCAACTTGTGGGTCGGGACCCCATTTGGGGTCGATCAACCATTTCACGGGGGTCGCCAAGCAAGGCTGTCCGCCATTTTTTTTCCCCTTTTCCGGCGGGTGCCTTACCTCCCTTGGGCTGGGCCAGCTGGTGGTCGGCCTGCTCCGTCTCTGCCGTTTGCCAGCTACGTCTCGGCCGGCGCAGGGGGCGGAACCACGCATGTGCAGTGCTCCCGGGCAGCGAAAGTCCTCGACTTACGACCGGTTGGGTAGTCCTTGACTTACGACCGGTTTAGTCCTCGACTTACGACCGGTTTAGTCCTCAACTTATGACCAGTTGTGGTCGTGGCATTAAAAAGGTTGAGAACCACTGAACTAGCCTATCTCGCTAATTTGTTTGCTGGAGTCTTATGGAAATAAAAGCTGAACAAAAGTTTAAGGATGATTTTCTGTCTGGTTTTGGTGTGAAGTGTGACAGCAAGGAAAACAGGCTGGCCATGACAGTTCCCTCTTTCCACGAACAATAGTCAGGTTGCAGCCTCCCAATGTATCTCTCCTGCCAGTGATTACTTCACTTGGAGGCTGTTTTGCATGCCATACTTTTTTCCTAATTTTCCCCATTTTCTTGATGCATCCCATCATGTGGGATAGGAAGAACTACTTGCCCTTCCTACTGTATTTACTAATCTTTCTCCCAAATCTATCTTCAGAAAGAATTTCCATTTCAGTTTAGATATCAAGTTCTACCTTCTCACTGACAGCATCCAGCTCTCTTCCAGTCCTTTATCCTCCCCCTTTTTTCAAAGCCTGCATCACATTAAAAATTCTGTATCCCCCAATGTTTATAATTTGCTCTCCCCACAGAAACTTGAAGATCAATAAGTGCTGAACCTTAGTTGCCAACCAGCATTTTTCTTTCCTCACCAGCTCATAACACCAGATTAATCAATGTACACCTCCACTCCTATCTGTCTATCTGTCTATTCTGTATCTGATATTTGTTCCTTCATTTCTGACTGGCAGGATGGCGAGGTTCCACTGGTACACCTGGACCAGATGGAAGACCAGGATTTCCTGGAGTCTCCAATATATCTGGTATACCTGGCGATGTGGGTTCACCTGGTTTTGATGGAGTACCAGGTAATGCAACACTGCTGTATATTCAGTGGGGATGTATGAACTATAGTCTATTCAAAGTCAATATGAAAATAGTTACAAAGTTGAAAAAGGGAGATCACCAGTGATTTTAAAAATTACTGGATGTTACTTTGAGTCATTGTAACTATTTGGATTTGTTGCAAGTATATTTAGCCTTTCTTCACCATGAAAATTAAATAGGCAAAATGGTAGTCAAGAGTAATTAGATATAAATTCTGCAATTAAGGTTTAATTGATAGGTCATGGCAGACCCCCTTCTTTTCAGGTGGATTCACATAGGATTAGCAGTGTAATTATAGTTATAATCTATAGCTGATAAGATGCATGATTTAAAAAATGCATAATTAAAAAAACTCCTTAGAAGATGTTTTGCGGAGTGGGAAAATGTGGGAGGGTACTTTAATAACATTTCAGGATCGAGGCAAGGCAACTGAACTACGAAATTCTCACGTAGAATAGCAACTCAGAAATATGGCATGTAATTGCAGAATTAATTAGACACACAAACAGAACTTATTATACTAAGCCAAAAGCTTGGGTTTGGGTTTGGGTTCGGTTAGTAAGTTATGTGAATGTAGTCTTTATGGTTTGTAAACTATGGTTTATGATTTAGTTTTACTTGTGACCCAGGCTGTTATAGCTTGTTCAGTTAAGCATGTTAAAATTAATGTTTAACAATGTTAAATATTAGGCTTATGCATTTTTCTTCTTTGCATGTTATAATTAACATATTGGAGGACCCAAAATAAAATAAAAGTTTTGAATTCTGATTTTTAGTAGTATTTTGGAGAGCAAGCAAAAGCTCATCCAATCATAATTTTTGAAGTGTCTTATGAAATGATAAAAAGTAAACAAAATGACCTAGGAAATTAGTTAATCAGAGCTGGCCCATTTTGACATAATAGTAAACTATTTTTAGGGGAGATAATTAATCAGAGTGCTTCTTTCTGACCACTACTATAGTTTCTTTTCCATATATACAGGTTGTGTTTAAATGATACAACTAAAACAAACTCCCATAAACTTAGCCTGGGTTACTGTGAGTGGGATATATTCAGGGCTGCTGCAGACAAGCAGCTATATTTGCTAAATGCAAACTACTGAAAAGGTGGTTAGCAAGCTGTGGAAATAGTGTAACCACCACCAGCACCCCACACTCCCAACAACCCAATAGTTCAGAACCATTATGGATGAAATTAGAAACATTTTAACCATCCCCATCTATGTTTCACTCAGGACCAGTCCAAAAGCAATCAAGAGTAGTCAGTGTCAAGCTACGAAGGTTTATGGTCATTAGGAGTGCCATAGTGCTTCTAGATTGCCTATAGTTGCAAGGGGGAAGGGAAAAGCTTGGGAGCACAGCTTGGGATCCACAGGTGCTCCCTATCAGTATGAGAGCCGAGGCCTCCGAAGGCCTCCAAAGAGATGTTTTGGCAAACTGAAGTTTTCTTCTCATAACAATTGCTGGACGATTAATTGGACAATGTGATCTGAACTGTCAGAGAGGGAGGGAAAGTTTTACTCTTTTAATTATCTGTTTCCCACCATATTGCCAGAGCTAGCTTTCCTTCTATCGCACCAATATGCTATGCTGGAACTTGAAAGTCAGGTCTGGTGTTACAAACTTTGCCCTTAAATGAACATTCTGAATTCTACTTACCTTTTGAAGGTTACCCCGGACTTTCAGGGACCCCAGGAACACCTGGCTCAGTTGGTTTCAAAGGAGAAGAGGGACTAATAGGTGTGGCTGGAGAAGATGGTCTAAAAGGAATACAAGGAGACCAGGGCCAAGATGGAAGACCTGGAATATCAGGCTTGGCTGGAGCAAAAGGTATGATGGGAAAACTCAGTATGGAGAATATAAATTAGGCTACTTAGTCAGATGTGTAATAACCCATGCTTACAACTGTTTTGCCTTGAAGGATATAAAGGTGAACAAGGAGTCATGGGCTTTGTTGGCCGAACAGGAATTTCTGGTGACTTTGGTCCCATAGGACCTAAAGGAGATAGAGGGCCCCCTGGTAAGTAGATTGATTCGGTATGCTAATTTCAACAATTGCTATATTTAAACCAACACTGATTCCACAGAGCTTTATTATAACCTTATCCTTAATGTTTAATGTTTTAATTTTAACAGCATTTTCAGTAATAATTTACATATTCCTAAAATTGCACTGAAGTCTCCTCTTTGTAATAAGAGAGCACCTATTAGTAATATTTATAGTCACAAGGAAGATAGTATATACTGGATCTTCTGTAGCTCATCAAACCTATTTATAGTACTAGTGTAAGGACCCACTTCAATCCCACATCTTAAGAAAGCAGAACTCTTGGAAACAATTTCTTCCAACAGGAACTTTGATTAAGAGTAGTTGATAGCAGGCATAATAGACAGGATCTGAGGGATTTCTTTACAGATCAATACTTTAAAGTGTCCCTAAGCAAACCCCACCCCACAGTTCATCCGGACGGTTCAGACCGGCCAATCTCCACGTGTTAACTCCATCGTGGGAAAGGGGAGATAACATCGGTCCAACTCCGGTTGTAGCATGATGTTCAACAGCTCTTCACACCTCCTTTTGAGACCGGAGAAATAAGCCAGGTTCCAGAGGTTTGTATTTCTCCCCCCCCCCCTTTTCCTAGCTGCCAGGTTAGGGAGAAGAAAGTTCATAGAGATATATATTGCAGGAGGCAATTTGTTACATTGTAATGGGCAGCAGACACAGAGGCAATAAACAAAAGGTTACATTGTAGCAAATAGAGGAAGTGAAAGCAATAACCCCGCAGGCATATCCCCCCTCCCCCTTGGGAGTATGGCAGAAACCAGGGGAAGGTGAGATTTGATTTTAGATCAGAGGAGATAGATAGAAATGAAATATAAATGGGTTCTGACAACTAACTTCCCATGAGTCAAGATGCATTCTTGTCTCTCATTAGAGTAGATGGGTGGTAAAACAAAGTAACTGGAATAAAAATGGAGACATTTGTGCATATAAACGACCACATGGGATAAATATTTAGTATCATTCAAGTTGGGTAGCTATATGATTTTCTTAAATTGATTAATGTATTTATTTTAAAAATTGCATAGGTGTTCAATTGGTACAAGTAGAAAAGTCTATCTACAAAATCAATAATTTATTTGGATTTTTAACTTTTAGGGTTTCAGGGACCTCCAGGTTCCCCCGGATTGCCACCTTTACTTCCTAAATTGGTCGCTGAGCAAGGGGCACTAGGCGCCCATGGAAAAATAGGCCCCCAGGGCCCTGCAGGTGAAATGGGTCCTCACGGTCCCCCAGGAGATCCAGGTAGGAGGTTACTATCAAAAATAATGGTGTTCGTAGGTTCGTGAAGCTATTTATTCCTCAAATAAAGACTGAGTAATACTTATTTCAAAGGAATATTTGGGGCACCTGAAAATATCGAGGCAGATTAAATTGTTATGCATCCATTTGTCAGCCACACAAACATTGATACTTCTTGGTCAGTGGCTTTGGCAGTTTTACGTGAAAGTGATACAGGGATTTAATGCTCCATTAGTACATTTCATATCTGTCCCTGCTGCACTAACTTTACAAGCATATCTTATAGAGTGAATAAAATACATTATGCAACTGGTCATTTGTTCAAGGCAATATGGGCTCCCACTGTATTTTCCTTCAGAAAAGTTCCAGTTCTTTTTGTGTAGAAATTTAATGTTATTTGGAAGAAAATGTAATGCCACAACAACACAGCTTCTATTCTGCCATAGCCTTCCTGCCCTTCCCTGCTCCTGCCTTGTAAATTGTCCTTTTTCAGATGAAATCTCCAGATAATTCTATTCTCATTCAGAAATGATAACCTACAGTGTGCTGGCCATGAAATTTCTCATATATTTGATTTAACTACTTCTGCTCAGGGCACCATGACCTAGTCCTGCTTTAGTTTCCTCTCATAGACTCTTACTAATAGCTTTGCTATAGAAAGCAGCATCTGTGAGCTACAGACACCTTCCATTGTTTAAAGATCCTGAGTGGATTTAATTCTTATTACCATAACAACTTTGTAATAAAATGTCATAGTCAATTATTCTGTTTAATAACCTCACTTTTCAGGTTTTAGAGGCCCGATAGGTAAACCAGGAGCACAAGGAAGAGGAGGTATAGCTGCATCTCCAGGTTTCAGAGGTGACCAAGGAGGACAAGGGCTGCATGGCCCAGCAGGCTTTGAAGGTAAATCCTAAAGTTCTTCTCTTTTTTGCATCTTCTCAGACATTTCATCTGATTGAAGATTTAATTCTGCATCCAATCTATTCATATATATTTTCCCAGTTAAATAAATGCAGGATTGCAACTACAGTCAGTCAGTTGAATGTGTGTACAATTAATTGCATGTGAGCCAAAATAATCTAAAGAAAAAATATAGGGTGTTTTTTTTTACAGATAAGGCACCTAAGCAACCATTACTTGAAAGATTCATCTAAGCAGGCATAAATTTGGAATAGACATTCCATGCCCTTCTCACACAAGAAGTAATTCAGATGATGCTTAGCTATTTTTTTTATAAATATATCTATTAAAATTCTTTTTTAAATAAATAAAAAGTGAACTATTATTGAAAAAAATGATATTGTAGTCTGATGTTTTGCTTCATGTGAGCTTATCAGTTTTTAAAATTACTATTATTAAAAGAGTGTTAAAACAAACCTTTCAGATGGAATAGTGAGCCTGGCAGATCCTATTGAAGGTATCTATTGAGGTTGCCTGCTTCTGTATAACAACTTAGTATCTAATCCAACCCTTTGTTGGAATTTTTATCTTTTAAGATTGGTAAGCAAATAATATCTAAGGGTTGCAGAAATGAAGAAGACTATAGACAGGTTCATCCTACAGTAGGGCTTCGGCTTTCCCATATATTCAGGAGTATGTATTTATGAGTACCATTGCATGCCCAATGTTGCCAACCCCAAAAACTGCCCTGATCACCACACCAGTGCAAAAAAGCAGTGTCAACCTGCATTTCCTTCCACCAACCAATAAAAAACTATCACATCTTTTTCACTCCACAGTGTCCCTGTATTGCTACTATTTTAAGGACACTTCCTTTCTCTTTTGGAGAGTAGCATAGCCCATGGATAGAACATGCTTCAGTCACCAGTCTTAGTGCTAATAACACACCTTGCATGGTCTGATCATTTGAACATATTATTTGAGCAAAATATATGAAACAGAAGTTGGAATGCTACAAAGCACAATGCACAATGTGAGCCTTTCAGGAATGCTATAAAAGGTCCCACTGGTTGGGAGGGATCTTCTGGGGAAAGGGCTAGCTTCCTTGTACAAATGAGAGCTTTGTGACCTCGTGCTCTGAGGGCTCCAGATGGGTTCCCAGCCAGAAAAAGAGATCTTCAGATTGTAACGTATCTTTCGGCATTGGAGAAGTACTTTTTGATAACTGCTATACAATGCCAGAATCAGCATCAAATAAATTCAGTCCAACAGCTGTGGATTCTTTTCTACTTGTACTGAATTATTCAGCAGTAAATAAAGTTGCCATGATGTTCTTACCGGGTGGCAATATCTTTAAAAGCAACATCCTGCCTTTATATTTCTCTAGGTGCAGCAGGTGTTCCTGGTACTCCTGGACTGCAAGGTATGCCGGGCCGCAGTGTTAACATAGGTTATCTTCTTGTGAAGCACAGCCAATCTACTCAAGAGCCAATGTGTCCAGAGGGCATGAACCAACTTTGGAGCGGCTACAGCTTACTGTACTTTGAAGGACAAGACAAAGCACATAACCAGGATCTTGGTATGAATTTTAGCTGCTTAGTAAATAATAAACAGCATATAAACAAACAAACAAACAAACAAACAAACAAGTAAGTAAGTAAGTAAGTAAGTAAGTAAGTAAGTAAGTAAGTAAGTAAGTAAGTAAGTAAATAAATAACAGACTAGCTCTTCATTGTCAGATAACATAATAGAAATTGGGTACCAGATTGTTACCAGGTTTTTTTAATAGCATAAACTCATTACAGACCATTTCAGCAGATGCTGGGCTGAGAGAAAAATGACTCTAGCAAGTTTCCACGGTTGAGGGTGGATTTGCAGTTAGATTATCCCAGTCCTAGTCTAACATTTCAATCCCTGGGCCTCACACACTAGTTTAAACTTCCTTCCCCATAGGGGACCAGAGGTCATGCCACTGCCCTCATTTCCTCCTCTACCTCCTGCCATTTTCTCCTGCCTCTGCCCAGGCAGGGGACTACAACGTAGAGCATAAAATCAGAGGGCTGGAAGAGACTCTGGGGGTCTTGTAGTCCAACCCTCTGCTCAAGGCAGGAGCCTTATACCATCCCAGTCAAATGTTGTCCAGTCTATTTTTGAAAACCTCCAGTGTTGGAGCACTCACAACTCCGGGAGGCAAGCTGTTCCACTGACAGTTCTCACTGTCAGGAAATCTCTCCTTACTTCTAGGCTGGATCTCTCTTTAACGAGCTTCCACTCATTACTTCTTGTCCTGCCCTCAGGCGCTTTGGAGAATAAGTCGATCCCCTCTGTTCTCTGTGACAGCCTCTCAAGTACTAGAAGACAGTTATCATGCTCCCCTGATCCTTCTCTTTGATAGGCTAGACATACCTAGCCTATCAAACTGTTCTCCCTCAACTGTTCATCATATGATTTAGCCTCCAGATCCTTCATCTTTGTTGCTCTTCTCTCCACACACATTCTAAGGTTTCAGCATCTTTTTTGTATCATGGTGACCAGAACTGCATGCAGTTTTCTAAGTGTAGTCTCACTAGAGCAGTAGAAAGTGGCATTATCGTTGCTCAGGATCTTGATGCTATTCCTCTGTTCATATAGCACAGGACTGCATTGACTTTTTTGGCAATGCAGTACACTGGTGGCTCATACTTAAGTGATGATTCACTAGGACTTCAGATCTCTTTCACAGTTACTGCTGTTGAGCTAGGTACCTATTCTGTACCTATGTATTTGGTTTTCCCTGCCTAAGTGTAGAACCTTACTTTTCTCACCCCTGGATTACATCTTTTTTGTCAAGTCTGACAAAATCCTTCTGAATCTTGAGTCTATCTTCCAAAGTGTTAGCAATTCCCTCTAATTTGGTATCATCTGCAAATTTGATGAGTTCCCTTTCTATCCCTTATCTAGATGAAGATGTTGAAGAGTATTAGGTCCAAGACAGAACCTTGCATGTTTCCATCCATGTAGATATAGTTCCATTAAGAACTGTACACCGGGAGCAATTGTCAGACAAGTGTGACTACTGTACCTGCATCAATATGGCTGGTGAACCTGTTGCCCAAATGGCCATTCAAAGAAGCAGTAAACACTTGCAATAGCAGCCAAATAGATAGTTTGCTCTCTCATCCACATGTATATAGGCCGGGTACATATGTTTCTTTGGGGGACTTGTGGACTGGATGATTTTGGGTGGCAAGCAGATCCAGCCCTCAGGACACAACTCCTAAGATATCACAATGGCTCAACCTCATGGATTTGTTATTACACTGACAGAAACTGGCAACAGAAATGTTTATAAAATTGTTGAACAAAAATAAATAGGAATAACTTGCATCGATTTTTATTTTGGTGATCAAATAAAAGCTAATATAGTGAAAAACCACATCCATGGTATTTACATCTAACATAAAAATATTGCAGTTAACAGATTACAGCAAAATTAATTTGTGCTAGTTAAGCTATATGTAATGCTATCATAGCTCTCTATTTCATTCACTTTTACTGCCAGAGTTCTAAACCATGGGCCTGGAACACTGAAAATTTACAATAGAGAAATCTAAAAAAAAAATATCCTGGGGATGGAAGCATTCTGGCACTTTGCTAAGTTCTCTAAAATATTAATATTTCTTCTTTCCAATCTTTCACAGAGAAGTTTCTGAAATATGTGCAAAAGTTCAGAAGTACCTACTAGTTTGGAAGACAACCTTTATTGTTTTAAACTTCCAGAACAAACTCCCCCTGGAGACACATCGGTGATTATTCTCTGTGTTTATTCTTGTAGGCCTGGCTGGATCATGTCTGGCTCGATTCAGCACTATGCCTTTCCTTTACTGCAATCCAGGGGACGTCTGCTACTATGCAGGTCGTAATGACAAATCCTACTGGCTCTCAACCACAGCCTCTCTTCCAATGATGCCTGTGGCAGAAGAAGAAATCAGGCCTTATATCAGTCGCTGTTCTGTCTGTGAAGCTCCTGCTCTTGCCATTGCTATTCACAGTCAAGATATTACTATCCCTCACTGTCCTGAAGGATGGCGCAGTTTATGGATTGGTTATTCTTTCCTTATGGTATGTGCTTGTTTTGCTGATTGGGGTACAGACTCAGAATGCTTTTAAAATTACATTTATCTCCTGCTTTTGTGTAAGGTTATTTATTTATTTAAACCTTTTATGGTGGCTGCCCAACTCACAAAATTGCAAATCTGGCTGGCTAATTATGGGATTAAAAGTAAGAATAAAAAGAAACTAACAACAATAGAAACAACCCCCAATAGTTGGGTATTCATGGCTCTGATAGGCAGGCTGGGAGCTACAGTATTTGCCTGGCCCAAAACCAAGAATGACACTTGATAGTTCTTCCAAGCTGACTTCTTTATTGTTTCACCCCTATAGACAAAATGTTGCCAGACTGAGGACTCTGCTGTCTGCAACTAAAATATACTCTGTGAACTATTAGGGAGAGCCCGTCTTCACCCTCTTTCTTTCACATATAACAGCCTCTAAAATGAGTTGCCTCTTACTCACCTGGAATACACTATCTCCCTCCTGGGAATACACCTCTCTACACTCCATCAATTTGTCCTGTTTCATATAGATATACATAGGCTAGATTTACAGTTTTCTTTACCATGGTTTATTGTCTACACTATAGTTGACCAGGTTCACATAGAACACTTAAGCTCTAAATTATGGTTTAGAAAAAGGCTATAATTGCATGCCATGCTAAATCACGAATTGCACACATAATTTTTCTCTCTTCTTGCTTCCCAAACTACTGTAAATAATTACAAATAATTACATGCTTTTGTTTTCTTCCACCTGAGATTTAACCCTTCCCATCTCAATGATAAACCCTCTTCCAAATGTAACAATTAGATATTTTTAAAAAGCTTTCATTGATACCTATGGTTTTTTTTAAAAAAAACAAAACACTATGGGGCAAATATGAAGTCCATAAATTTATGATCCTATTTAATTTTCTGTTTATTTTTCTGTTTATTTATTCACCCTTTTAAGAAGTAAAAACATTGGCACAGTATCATCAGAGTGCCAAGCATTTAGATCAGGGCTTTTCAACTGTTGGTACACATACCACTAGTGGCACATTGGCACACGGCAGGTGGTACGCGACCCTGCCCAGCCTAGCAGCGCAGCATAGGACTTGCCATGAGAGAGTCCTCAGGAGCTGCAGGGCGGTTGGGACGAGATCAGTACTTCCTGCTCACCAGGAAGAGAAAGGAGATGAGGAGTGCGGAGACAGGAGAGGCTACAAAAGGAGGCAGTTTTGGCAGGAGACGCAGAGGAAAAAAAGACGCAGCCTTGAAAGGAGGAGGAGGAGGAGTCAGATGGAGCTGCATCGAAGGGAAAAGGAGGGGGTGGGAGAGAAGAGATAAAACAGGCCAGCCAGGAGCCAATCTACAACTTTGTGACAGCCATCCATGCTGGACGCGCACACAGGTGGCAATGAAAGCAGGCAAGAAATGCAGTGGGGTAGGGGTCACCCTCCATGAGGAATGAAGAAAGGCACCATCCCCTGAAGGAAACCAGCAAATGGCCCTCGACCACTTCACACCCCCTTTTGTGGGCTCCAGGAAGAGTAGAGTCCATGTTACTTGCACTATGCTGCCCAGCCCCCCCTCCGAGCCTGCCCGGTTTCCACAGACAGCAGTGCCCTCTCCTCAGGGGATGGTGCCTTTCTTCATTCCTCGTGGAGGAATGAATGCCTGTTTTTCTCCCTCCTTGCAAATATCTTCCCACCACTCGGCTCTTAAGACTGTGAGGAGAGCGCACTGCTGCCTGCTGAAACCAGGCAGCCGGGAGGGGCTGGGTGGAGTAGCGCAAGTAACACGGACTCTCACACCACTTGCAACATCCCCTCCCCTGGAGCCCACAAAGCCGGGGGTGTGAAGTAGGTGAGGGCCATTTGCTGGTCTCCTTCAGGAGATGGTGCCTTTCTTCATTCCTCGTGGAGGGTGACCCCTCCCCAGCTGCGTTTCTTGCCTGTTTTTTTCCCTTATTGTAAATATCTTCCCGCCACTCTGCTCTTAAGGCTGTGCAGCTCTTGCCCAGGAATTTACAGTGGCCTTTCAAGCCATGGCCACAGGCAGACAGCCGCACTGGCAGTCTCTTCCCCTCCCCTTGTCCCTTCCTGGGCACAGAGGGAGGGAAGGAAGGAGATGGGAATGAGAAAGGGAAGGAGAGAGGGAAGGAAGGAAGGAAGGAAGGAAGGAAGGAGGGAAGGAAGGAAGGAAGGAAGGAAGGAGATCAGAATGAGAAGCAGGAAGGCAGGAAAAGAACGAGGGTAGGGCTGGAAGGAGGAAGGAAGGAAGGAGGGACATTGGAATGAAAGGGAGGAAGGGTCTGAGGGAAATCCTGCCTTAGCACTTGACCGCCAGCAGCCCTTTCACCTTCCCCTTGTCCCTTCCTCCTGGCCTATCCTGATGGTCTCCCATCCTATCACTAAGGATAATTTGGTTACAAAGCTGGGTCTCCTCACATGGAGAGGGAATGGGTCTCCCTCTGACCCAAGCATTTTGCCCTCCTGCACCCACCTTGAGCAACCTGGCCAAGGAAAGTGGGCACAGCAGCAGCAGCAGCCTCAAGGAGGTAAGCACAACCAGGTGCCCTCTCAGGGAAGTGAGGCTGGAGTGGGTTGGGCTTCATGCTCCTGGTGCCTCAGGAACTCGAGGGCCAGGCTGGGTGCTTACCCTCCGCTGCCCAGGGCACCAGGCAGTGCATGCCACTGTCTGGGAGTCCCCTGCACGGCCCAAAAGGGACGGCGAGGCTCCTCCAGTGGACCATGGCCTGGCACCTACGGCAGTCACACACCCCTCCACCAGAGACCCCCAGATCCTGCCCACAGCCCCGCCCGTACCCCCCACAGGTGCCCAGCAACCTGAGCAACATTGAGCTGGCCCCGGCCATTGATTTCGCTTATCAAAAAGTTGTAAAAGGTGATCACATGACCCTGGGACACTATGACCATCATAAGTATAAATCAGTTGCCAAGCATCCAAATGTAAATCACGTGACCCTGGAGATGCTGCAAGAGACATAAGTGTGAAAAATGGTCATAAGTCACTTTTTTCAATGCTGTTGTAACAGTCACTAAGTGAACTGATGTAAATTGAGGACTACCTGTACATTATCATTTTTTTCTTTTCTTTTTTTTTTTTGGTCATCAAATTTTTAATACCTTGCCAGGTGACTGGTAATACTCGAATATTGCTGTATCCGAAAAGTGGTACAATCGGTGAAAAGGTTGAAAAGCCCTGATTTAGATTACATTTGAAAAACATACGGGTCTATAATTTTGCCATATTAATTTATTAAAACATATATTAAATATTTAAGGTATGAGCACTTCAATTACAATTTATTTATTCAATTTCTATGTTGTAGTTGATTATCTTTTTGAACATACAGTGGCTTATGTCATTTCAGACAGCAAAATAAATTACACTGCCTACATTATTAGACTGTATTAGCTGCAGAAAACACATGAGGGTCTGACATGAGGAAAAGAGCTACCTGGAATGGGTCGTATGTAGAACCTTTGTTAGAACACGCTTGATTTATATCGCTCCTTCCCCAAGATGAAAGCTAGCATATGGAAATTCTCCTCTCATTTTTATGATCACCACAACCTGTAATGTACTTTTGTATTATATTTGAATTGTTGTTATCTGGTTTCTTCTAGCACACTGCAGCTGGTGGCGAAGGAGGAGGACAGTCCCTGGTTTCTCCGGGTAGCTGCCTGGAAGACTTCAGAGCCACCCCATTCATTGAATGCAATGGTGCTCGGGGGACCTGTCACTACTTTGCAAACAAATACAGTTTTTGGCTTACCACCATTGACCATCAATTTCAACACTCACCTTCTTCAGATACTCTCAAGGCTGGACTCATCCGAACACATATAAGCAGATGCCAAGTGTGTATGAAAAATTTGTAAAATAAACAACCCCTCCCCCCAAAAAATGTCACTTCAAAGTGGCATGGATCAGATTTTGTTGGTGCTTATTTAACTTATTACCTCATCATTTGAACACAAGTATTATCTGGAAGAACAAACACTGCAAGTACATATAACCACACAATTGTTCAGCCTTTGTTCATGTATTTGTGAGTTTGGTTTTACCTGCTGCAAATAATACAATCTGTTATGAGAATAAAACAATAGACAAAATTTCATTATTAAATACACTTGCTGTCATTTAAATCTGATTTACTGTCAAATGATATTTATCTTGTTTTCTATGTGTAACTGAACACTATAGTCATTGAATATTAAATAAACATTTAAATACAAATGCAAACTGTTAGAATTTAGGATTTTAAACTGAATTTAGCAAACTCATATTATCAAAATGGAAATGCCATTTCAACATCCTCAAAACAATCAAAGAGCTGTATCTTGCTCTAAGGGAGTCCTGAGGTCTTTGGTTACAAATCCAATAGAACTACAATGTTTTGTGACTGAAGGAAACATGCACGGAATATACTTTTGTTACAATTATATTTCAAGGCCTTTTATTTTTATTCATTGTTACTTTATTAAACATCTGTTGCTATTAGTGCCTAATTATTTCTGCAGAGTCTGCAGAGGTAAGCTTTATTTTTGTGTCACTTGACTTTTTTTTAATGCAATCTTATATTATTCTATGCAGTACCCTCAATGGATAGACATAGCGCATTAGACCAGAATTCACTTATCTTAATATTACTTTACTATGGCTTGCAGATAAACAATCTATGGTGTTTTAGATGTTTATATTCTAGCTGGATTGATGAGTGATGGTGGTTTGGAATCCATATCTGAAAGTACTTTGCCTATTTAGGCAAACAGTACTTTGCCTAATTCTGTTCAACCATTGTTGGGTATCACAGGATCTGTGTCATAATAATCTCATAATTTCAGGAATAGCACAAAAGGAAGGTGTTTATAAAATTATGCCTTGCAGCTTCTCCAGTTGCAATTATAGCTACAGTCAAGAAACACCCCACTAGAGAGTACCATTTAGTAAGATTTGTGAGTACCCATACTTAGGAATGTGGCATTTGTCATTCTTCCCAATGTAAGGATGATAAAGAGAGACTCAATATCAGAAGGAAGTGAGTGACAAAAAAAAGCATCTCTACCCAGAAGGAATTAGGACTGTACCTGGGAAAGTGAGAAATACACTTTTCTCATAGCAGTGAACCAAAGCTGTGATCATGTGCATACTTAGCTGTACAAATGAAGCTTTACTGGCTTCCAAGTAAACATGCATAAACTTGCTGAGTAAATAAGTTTCTATCCCCAATTCCTTCACCAGTATGGACAAGCAGATGAAAAGGAGGCAGAATTAGAACCTCAACACTGCAAGTGGCAACAACCCACTTTTGGTGGCAGGTACCGGGCAGTTGCCCAGACTCATCTGTAATTGGGCACTTGGGACTTCCCACTGTTTCCCAGAGTGTTTCCTTCCCAAGCCAAATCCTGAATAAGAAATGCTCCAATTTCCTTTCATGTGTTTCTCCTTTTTACTTACGATCACAGTGTTTTATTTTGTATGATAAATAAAAGTATCAACTTTTTCTTATTGAATTGGTACGAGTTTTACAAGACATGACTTAAATCCTAAAAAAAGAAAAAGAATCCCATGTAAAGAAACAACCCATATATGATCTGACTTGAAGGGGACAGCGCAAGAGAATCCAGGGAGCTCCAACTTCACCATCTAGTAGCAGCACAGAGGTTGCATTGGAAATGTGCATATCTAAGGCATCACCCTTAGACGCAGAGCATATAATCACACATTCAAATCCACTTAAATACTTCACATTTAAGGAAATTCTGTGGATCTATTTCTTCCATATCTGATAAAGACTGAAAAAGTTTCAGAGTTAGGAAAGCAAAATGTGGATTTAGAGGCCCAGTGAATTTTTATGGATTTGTAGGCCATGTTCTTCAGTCTCCTTCCAATTCTCATTACTATTAAAATTTATTTCATCCAAGGATGAGCCCAGCACTGTTATTTTGCTGCCAAGTCCTAAAATAAATACCATAATAATGTACCATATTTGAGATTCAGAGACAAGACAAAATATATATATTCCAGGTATACTTTAGCCCATAATCTCTAGTTTTATGAATTACTATCACAAAGGTAATTAGTAAATTTTATTGCTAATATAAATAGTCTAAAAAATAGGCAGAGGTAAAGAGCTGTTTTGTGTCAATAGATTGTTTGATCAGCCTCATAGTAATTTCTTTCACATTCAGAAATTGTAGATTTCTGTAGATTTGTAGAAAAAGTAATCTTCCTAACAAGGAAAAATCCAAGTTGATATTTTTATATATTTCCTCAACAACAGCAGCACTGAAAAATCACTGCTATCATTGATACATTGTTATCACTGATTACAACCAAAATATTTAAATAATTTTGATTCTCTAACAATCAAGTTCTCTGTTATATATATTGCAATCATCTCCATACCAAAACACATCATTTTCTTCCCTGTCCTCACACACTTTTACAAATTAATGTTCCCCCAGCCATGTACTTATCCACTTTTATGACTCTATTATTCATAATTTAACAAAAAAATATGCTTAAATAATTTCACCAGAATCTGATCTACTACTGTAATAACCAAAAATATTTACTCTTACTGATTTAGAACATAAATAATTCATCAACTTCCTGGAATTTCAAAGTTTGAAGCTAATACTGTAGTACATTTATAAACATTATTAGTCCCAATACCACCAATACCACTGAGTTAAAATCGGCCTAAAATTGCAGACTACTTTGTAAGTTCCTTCAGGTACATTTTGTTATAGGAGAAATGGGAATACATTTTTTGCCTAACAACCAATGTCTGGGCTATATTGATGTTGACTCTATTTAATACCATTCTACTGATCTGACTTTCCTCTTTGCTCTGGCTCTGGTGGCCATAACCATGCAATTAATGAGGAAGAAAAGGGAAGAATTGGTTTGCTACAATTCTTTATTTTGCTGAAAAAATATGGTGTAAAATAGCTGATCAATCTCTACCTCCTTCCTGAAATCTATTTCTTCATCTATAAACTCCTCCTTACTACATAAGTGAATGCCACATATCAAAAGATTCTTGCCAAAACAGATACTAAAGATTCATGTGTAAAAACAGCATACAGTATCATAAATTTAATGTGGAAGGGGCAAAAAAATCACAATTAATGGGCTTTAAAAGCTTTCAATAATTGACTCCAAGCTCCCCTTCGCTGAAGTTTTTTCTCATTACATCATTTAATTGTTACAAAAATCCATTCTTATAGAAAATGCAGTTTATCTGGCTGGCCTTGTTATTTTTGCACTGTTATCTTTATTCAACATTTTTTTTGCAGTAACACTTTTGCATTGTTGCAACACTTTTCTGCATTGTCCTTCAATTAGTGTAAAAATGCATTCAGTTATCTGCAGCATGCAGAGTGTGTGTTTTTAGCAGTCTTGCAGTTATTTAAGTCTACAGTTTGTGGCAAGCCTTCAGCTTTTTGTTGCAAAATTACCGGTACCACCATTTCAAATACAGTTTCAAAAAGATGATCTACATTATAACCAGTTTTCGCACTAGTTTCAAAACACATTTTTTCTGCCGCTGGTACATTTACCTCATCCAACATTTTATACTTGAGGATTTTCCTATAAAATGCTACAGCATCATTCATATGGATTTGTTTTTTCACCTTTGTAGAAATGGGACTATTGGAGGGCTTCTCAAACTGATGCTTGTCTTCTGATTCTGGCAAAGAGGCACACGCATCTGTCAGGTCAACTTTGTTCCCGGCAATAACAAAGAGGCAATCTGGGCTGGCAGAATCTGTTAGTGCCAAGAACCTATCCTCAAGTTCCACCATGCTCTGTAGGTTAGTTACATCGTATGTGAGAATAACAGCTGCTGCTCCTCGGCAGTACATGGACCCAAGGCCGTGGAACTGCTCGCGACCTGGAAGAAAGAACACAATACTGAAAGATGATTAGGGGGCTGGAGGCTAAAGCATGTGAAGAACAGTTGCAGGACCTGGGTATGGCCAATCTAGAGAAAAGAAGGATGAGGGGGTAACATGATAGCAGCATTCCAGTATTTGAGGGGCTGCCACAAAGAAAGGGGAGGGGGGGTCAACTTATTTCCCAAAGCACCAGAAGGCAGGACAAGAAGCAATGGATGGAGACTAATCAAGGAGAGAAGCAGCCTGGAATTAAGGCGAAACTTCCTAATGGTGAGGACAATTATCCAGTGGAACAGCTTTGCCTTCAGAAGTTGTAGGTGCTTCATCACTGGAGGTTTTTAAGAATAGACTGGACAGCTATTTGTCCAGAATGGTATAGGGTCTCCTGCTTATGCAAGGGGTTGGACTAGAACAGTGAACCTCAACCTTTTGGGCACCAGGGACTGGTTCCATGGAGAGTTTTTTTCATGGACGGGAGGGGCGTGGTTTTGCATGCTGCCTGCATCCCGCAGATGAGGCTTTGCTTGTTTGTTCAGCCCCATTTCTGGCATGCTGTGGCCCAGTGCCAGTCCATGGACCGAGGGCTGGGGACCCCTGGACTAGAAATCCTCCAAGGTCACTTCCAACTCTGTTATTCTGTTAAGTAAAGAATGCTAGCTTGACAATAAAAAATAGTCTTAATATGAATGTCTGAATTTTCCCAACAGTTCTGTTGTACTTTTCCAACAACTGATATGTATTCCTGGCCAGTATAAGGGAGAGAGATTTCCATTACTGAAATCTATCCAGTTCAAAGGGATACAAATACATACACACACACACCTTTGAACTGGACAGATTTCAGTAAGGGAACCGTCTCCCCGTAATACTGGCCAGGAAGATAAGGAAACTTTGTCCACCACACCACCCTAATATATAATCCCCAAAAGAGGTTGTTGCTGCTATTCCAAAATAAAATGTTAAAAATCCTGCGTACATTATTGCTACTGACGCAATAGCGTTAAAACTTTTTTTGGAAAAGCTGCTTAAATTATGCCAGAACCCAAAAAAACTCTTGGATGTTTCCAAAAGCTGAAATGTTGGGCCTAAACTAAAACAGGAGCCAGGCGCTGGAGTGAAAACCCTTCCATGGAACTGAGCGGGCGCGTTGCCGGAAAGAGAGACAATTCGGTCGAGTGGATTGCTCAGCTCCCGCGAGTGCCGCGGAAGGGCTCCTCCGACCGCAAACGCTGACTTCCCACGGCGAAGCGAGTATGCGCGGCTAGCAAGCAACGGTGGGCGTGTCGGGCTGCTTTTCCGAAGTTGGCAAAGTTAGCCGAGCGCGACGTCGCGCCTCTTGTCCCGCGCACGGTCCGCTCGGCCTCGGAGGAAGAGAAAGAGCCCTCGACGCCGCCCCGCCGGGGAAAAAACAAAAAAACTCGCCGACGCGGCCCCCGTCGCCGTTCACCTGCCGTGTCCCAAATCGAGATGTTGTGGGGGCCCCACTGCTTGAGGTAGAAGGCGCCCCCGACGGTGCTAACGGTGTCCTGGAAGCGCCGCTCCATGTAGCGGTGCAGCAGCGACGTCTTGCCCACGTTCATGTCGCCCAGCAGCACCACTTTTCCGTCGGGCTTCATGTTGACCCGCCGGGCGTGATGGCGCAGCCCCGTCCCCCCGGCGCTCCTGGAGTTCCTCGGAGAAGAGAGGCGGAGTTGCGCTTTCGCTCTCCTCCGAGGGCGGAGGTGAAGAAGGGAAAGGGAGGGCCGCAGGAATATCGGCGGCGAAAGCCCTATGGGGAGAGCCGGACGCTCGCAGGCGCTCTGAACGGCGGGAGCCGCACTCGCCTCCTTCTCTCGGGAACGCGGCTAAGCAATTAGCGCTAACGATGATGGCTCGGCCATGGTTTGCTTAACCGTGATTTATTGACTAAACCGCAGTAGAACTGTGGATGACAAAGGACAGGGACTGAGTTCCTTAGCACAGCTGTCAAAACCGAGCAAGCCCCATTATGATATACTCTATTTTAGAGTGTACTTCTGTATTAAGTTTAAAGATGTGACAGAATATTTCAAAATCGTTTTAATGGAGAAATATGAACTAAAATAAGCAGCTCGCTCTCCGACCCACACACATACATAAAGCAGCAATATAAATTGCCTCAGTTTTCTCTTATTTCTTTGATTACATTCCCTTACAAAATCCATTTATCTTTCATAACACTTTCTCTAATTCTAATGGAACTCAGACTAGTTTTTTACAGACCATCAGAGAGCTCTTCTTATTTTCTATGGAGATTTCTTTAGTGTAACTTGTTTCTGTGGAGTAAGTCACGTACTGAATATAAATGGTTTTACTTTTGAGTAAACATCCATAGGATTGTTATGCACCATGAAAGAGCAACAGTATGATACCTCAGTCAATAAGAAAAACTGAATAAGTGAAAAATGAGATACAGTATAGGTCAGTGATGGCGAACCTTTTAGAGACCGAGTGCCCAAACCGCAACCCAAAACCCATGTATTTATCACAAAGTGCTAGGGTTGCATCAGCATTGTGGTGCCCTCAGGGGGGGCAGGGAGGCGCCTCTGAGTGCTGCCTCTGGCATGTAAAAACCGGGGGGGGGGTGTGTGTGCAAAAACAGCTGCCGCCGCAGTGCAGGGGTGCAGATACAAGGTGCTGCATCACGCAAGAACGGGGCAGGGCTAGTGAGTATCACGCAGGCACTAGCCCCATCCCATTTGCAGTGTAAAATGCTTCCCCCTCCCTTTTCTTCCAGTCCAACAATGACTGGTGACCTCTGCTGTACCACCTCTACTCGAGCTTGCTAGTTGGCCGCTTCGCCTCCTTTGTGCTGGGTGGGGCTCCTCTGGGCGGTGGTGGCGGCCTGATGGACCTGCTGCTGGCGGTGGTACGCGTGCCAACAGAGAGGGCTCTGAGTGCTACTTCTGGCACGCATGCCATAGGTTCGCCACCACTGGTATAGGTAGTCCTTGACATGTGACCATAATTGAGCCTGCAATTTTGGTCATAAATCATGATGGTCATTAAGCAGCTCACCATGTGACTGATTTTATTACCTTTTTAAAAGTGAATGAGGGTGGTGCGGTGGCATAGTGGTTAAGATTCTGGGCTTGGCTGGAAAACTGGCAGTCTAGGTTTGAGACCTGAGTGCTGTGCAATGGGGTGAGCTCCCATCCTCGCCCCAGCTCCTGCCAACATGCAAATATGAGTAGATAAAAAGGTATCACTTTGGTGGCAAGGGAACAGCCCTGTCCAGAATAACCAGTTTATATGGTTATTAACCCAGTTATAATTCTGTATTGTTGGATCTGGCTGTGCCCAAATATAATAGCTAAGGGTTAATTAGTTTAAGAAATTGAAAACCCCTGCCTATTTGCTCTAATCCTGCCTCTATCAAAATGATAGATAACAACCACCTTCTCTTAACCTCTCAGTGAGAGATGTTATATTACGTTATGCCCCTGTGCAAGCAGTTTTTACATGACCTCTACTGGGGGGGGATGGGGGGAGGAATTTCTCTATCTTCACACTGTGTAACCTGTCATTTCATCGGAAAGTAAGGACTAGATTTTATAATGTCACTATCCCCTTCCCCATTAAACAGAATAGCAATAGTTGAATAGCAATAGGCATGGAGCTGAATTTATTCAGCTGTATCCTATAAGGTGGCTGAGAGGAGTTTTTCTGATGACACTGGGGTAAATAAAATTTAATTTTGAAAATCCAGGAGGAAAAAAAAGAGGGAGGGCAGTTGAAGGACTGTAATTCAGAAACTATAAATGTAATGCTGTACGTAATTGTGTATTTTTTTGACTGCCTTGATAGATTCTTGGGAAAATGATTGAAATAAAAGATACTCCAAGGCAGGGGTGTCAAACTGCAGGGCCACATGCCGAAACCGCACCCACTCCATTGCTGGCAATCGAAAAAAAGTTGTGATACATTCGACACATCACGTGACATTGCAAGTTTGACACCCCTGCTCCAAGGCAACGCATTTACCCAGTATCCATAGCTGGGGTACAGAAGGAAGAGGCTGCCATTACCTTCAATTCTTGTTGCAGGCTTCATACACGGTCAGCAACTGTGCAGAGTTATGAGTTTTGCTTGATCCAGTGCAACCCACTTACCCTGTTGTGAACTTCAGTCCTGGTTCACAGTAATCATATGCATTATGTGAAGCCAGTTTCCTTTTGAGGAAAAGAGGGAAGCAAAGAACAGTGGGAACACAGCTGTTCTTGTTTCTCTTTGTCATCTGACCACATTGAACACCCCCCTGGCATAGTGAGTGCTATGCTTTCTTCCTTTTTCTTTCAGCATAAAGCAGAATTAGTTGCTAAAAGCTACTGACCTCATGTTCTTTGTGTATGCTTTGTAAAGGCACCTGATTGGCTCTTATGTGTTTGTGCTGAACTTTTAATCACATATCTAATCAGCAGCCATTGTATTTTGCTATACTACAATTATCTGGTTATATTTGTATCCACTGTACCTTTTGTGTAATTCATATATAGCAGTGATGGCGAACCTTTTAGAGACCGAGTGCCCAAACTGCAACCCAAAACCCACTTATGCATCGTCGGGTGCAGGGTGAGTGTGGCCCATTGGGTGGGCATGGCCCATTGGGGGGTGTGGCCCATTGGGTGGGTGTGGCTGTGGTGGTAACAGCAGACTGGGTGAGACTAAAAAGTTCAATCAATCAATTTCAACTTTGCAAGTTTTTTTTTTTCGGCGAGAAGTTGAAATTGACTGATTGATTGAACCTTTTTTTTTTTGTACATGGCAGCAGAGGCCTAAAGCAAAAAGGTTTTATAAAACCCAGCTGAAGGCCTAGGACTGGGGCGACGGCGCACGTGCCCACAGAGAGGGCTCTGCGTGCCGCCTCTGGCATCCGTGCCATAGGTTCGCCACCACTGATACATAGATAAGTTGTGTTGTGTTTTTGGCCAGGTTAGGTCTGGTTGGCAAAACTTTAGATGGCAACAGAGAGTTAGGGTGTTTTATGTCTCTTTGCTTCCATTTACTGTCCATACTGTCCATACTAGAACTTTTGCAGTTCTAGTGTTAAACCGCTACTTTGGTTTCCCAATGTTGAAGTGCTACTTCCAACATTCAACAGGGGAGTTATACTGTAATGTTAAACAAAGCGGGGAGGGGGAACCCTCGTATTTGAAATGCTGAAACATTTTTAAAGCATTACATATTTTAAAACATTTTGTCTGAAGACGCAGGGCAGGTCCCCGCTCAAACGGCTTCGCGTTACGGGGTTGCTACAAATCGATTCCTTCCAGCAGCGGCCTCTTCCGCAGGCGTCCCGCTGTATAAAGACGGCACGCTCAGATATGGCCTCGCATTGTAATTGCTGGAGTATTTGTAAAAGCCAATATTTATTTTGAATCGCGTCTTCCACGTGCAAAAAGGCGGACACTAACATGACCTATCGCGGAGGTCTTCTTCTTCTTCCCGATGATTTCCGATACGCCCTCGTCATTTCCGACAAAGGGGGTGGTGTCAAACAGGAGCCGCGAAACCACCTCGCCAAGCTTTTGTTGCCTTTGTTGCTTAAATCTTGCCTTGGAGCCGCCGGTCCTGCGCACACGCTCTCCCGCGGGTGCAGGGGAACGCTCTCCACCCCGCTCCCGGGCTTTTTGTCCTTTGGCCTCTGGTGACGTGGAGCTGCGGGCTTTGCTGTTTTGCGCAGCTCAGCACAGTCGGCCGGGGCGGCGTTTGCGGGCGAGGCCTGGGCCGTTCAAGGAAAAGCCGAAGCGATGAAAGGTAGCGAGAGGCGGGAGCCGGGATCGAGGGAGGGTTGCTGTAACGTGAAAGCATCACGCTTGAGACGCTGACTTTGCAGCTGAATTTATATATTTTAAAATTTATATATTTATGTTTTCTTTAATATGATATACACATGTTAACTCAATATATTTTGACCATTGATTAGCAACAAGGCATGTATGCATTTTGGTCACAAGATATGGAAATGGTTTATAGCCTTCTATTTTTAAAGCATGATTTTTATGCTATATTTAATGCACGTTGAATATCTCCTGTTAAAATCACGCTACAATCATTTCTCTCCCCTTCCCCAGGTAAATTCCATAATTTTACATATGCTTTGAAAAAGTATCTTGTATTGTTTTGAATTTTCCACCGTTCTTCACTGTTGGGTAGCTATAAACTGTAGCAGTGAAGGCCTTGTTTTGTTTATTGCAACAAATGGGGAGAGAAGCTTATCAAAGCTTGGTTCTCTCCAAAGTTTATCATCTCAAATCAACATCTTTATATATTTCCTGCACCAGCCACCACTTCCCTCCTCCTTCCCCATTGGCTGAGGTACCATGAGGTTACACTCTTTCCAACCACCTTCTACATATTTCCTGTTACATACTAAATCATACATCCCATGTGCATTTAAATTAAGAGATAATATATGCAAAGTGTGTCTAATAATATTCAATAGGATTTTGAGCATGTTCTATTTGTTTTTGAGTTCTGGGATATTTTATGGCTTCTTAGAACAATAGATTCTTTCCTGGTATTCAGTTTTAGTTTTGCTTTTTCTGTTTTTCAATTCAGTTTTGTCTTTAAGCTAGCTATTTCCTCTTACAATTAATTCCTCTTACAATATTACATTTTGAAGACCATTCACTTAATCCTATCAGTAGTATTCTGTGAAGGAGAAATCATTTATTTTGTCTGCAATATGCATATTGTATATCGTACACTCTTTAAGTCTATGCTATATTTATGTAGTACGCATTCATAGGTGTTTATGCTAATCCATACTGGGGAATGAGGTGGGATTAAGATGTCAGTTATCACCAAAAATGTAAATGAAAACTTTTTTTTGTTCATAGTTGACGCAAAAAGGCTCTGGAAGCACATGGAAAAAAATAAAATAGACAATATATTTGAGTGTATGCACAAGGCATTGTTGTCTTTGCAGCAGAAGATCAAAGATGGAACTGCAACAAGTGAAGGTTAGACATCTTTGTAAACTATCACACCTGAATTGAGAAATTAATGAAACAAAACTCATAGTCAGTTTTGCAGGTATAGTTAGTGATATTAAGTAACGTGTGCTATGCAGACAAGTTAAACTTGCAATATTTTGTCTATGATACAGCCATGCAGTGTTTACAGCTGAATTTAGTAAGCAAACCTATTTTTTCTGCTGTTGATCACATTGATTTCCTATGAGATAATTGGTAAGAGGTTGCATGCCAGTGATGGGGGTGGACTGAAGCCATGGAGCCATTCTTTCTACTGTCTGTCTTGCCTCTTTCTCTTCCTTTTCTCCCTGTCCAGTGAGCTTCTGGCAAAAAGATTAGAGTACACTGCATAAGATGCATCATTTACACAAGGCTTTTGCAACCCATGAATGTCACTATAGGTTTTTACTTTTAACTTACTAGAATTAACCCACCATGATCTCCTTTGCAAGTATATTGTGAATATATTTAAATAAAGGATAAAGACAGTAGTTTTCCCCATTGTGCAGAAGGTTTTCTTTAAAAAAAATACAGCTTTTGTATAGCTTCTCTGATTTTCAGCTCTTTGAGGAGAGATATCAGCTTAAGGGTGGAACCAGTTAGATGAAAGTTTAGCATGCCTCCCTTTATTCATGATATTTAATCAGATTCTAGTTAATCTTTATTTGTATTTATTTATTTGTGTACCTTAATGTCTGGGTTGACTCCTAGCAAGTCACTGCAGTTTTCTTGGCAAAGTTTTTTGGAAGTGGCTTGCTATTCCACCTTCATAGGGTGGAGAGATAGTGACTGGCCCAAACTTACCCAGCTGGCTTCATGCCTAAGGCATAATCTCCTGATTATGTTTTTGGCCTTATGCCAAAGTCTTTAAAAGGAATGCTTTAATTTAGATTCTGCAATGAGCAAATTGTTGGCCTTGGTGGCTCCTTGCAGTTCTGATTCTGTGAAAATAATACATAAATAGGTGAAAAAAATGTCTCTGCACCTATGGAACCTGTTTGTTCCAAAACATGTACCTGTGTTTGATATTAAGTGGTTGGGAATCATACTTAAGTCTCAAAATGTATGGAGAACTTCAGCTAAGAGATATCAATCAAAAAGACCACTTTCTTGTTTATTAACATCTACTACATCATTTTAAAATGCTATATTTCAGTGCAGTTTTCTGTTTTTGTCATTTTAAACAGAATGCAATCAAGCTTTGGCACTTGTGAATCAGTTGGGTATGACTGACCTCTTACCTCTGGCTCATGGTATGAAAAATCCTATTGCTCCACTATAATAGATGATGATATTTATTCCTTTCTATAGGCATTAGCCTCTTACCTAGCCAGAAGAAAAGGCCTTACATATTGGCTTATGGCTGAGTTTTCTATAAGGGAATTAAGGAAATCAAGCCTGATTCCTATTGTCTACTCTCCATATTGGATTTTCCGTTCCAGCAGATTCAATACTTGTGGTTTTAATTTTTCACAGAACGTAAACCTGGTATAGTCCTATCTTAAGAGGGACCCAAATTCAAATTTCATTGTGACAGATAAAAAGCTTTTCAGTAAACATTTTGGGAAAGCTGAAGCTGGTCAAATTAGTATTCACCAATTTCCATTAGCAAGGCATATAATTTAATTTCTCGGAATTGGGTCAGAATGATATGTTGTCTAGTTCATTGTTACCAAGCCCTTCCAGATTTTGGATAGAAGAATTTACCTAGCATACTTTTTTTTAGTGGAGATGGCTTTTACATGTGAAGCAGTTGCTTTTCCAATGATACGTGTCTGGATTTACTAATTGACAGACCTCTGTTAGCAGAATATTATGGAGTCAAATTCTTGCTGGTTTACCTCTTTTAACACTTATTGTTGTTTTATTAAAAGCTGTCTTTATCCATTGTTCATCACTTAAACAGGACAAAGAGTGCTCCTACTGGTGCATCAAATATAAGAGGAATGTCTTGCATCTATTTTGTCTTAAGCTTGATGTCTAAAAGTACTGAAAGAAATTCAGCGCAAAATCTGCCCTTCAGATAGGTAAAACCACCAGACTCCATTTTGTGCAAATGTTTTTATGGAGTTGGAGACATCAAGGTTTGCTCTTTGATCCCCAAGTTTTCATTCTGCATGCACCCTCCAGCTTTTTGTAATCATGATAGTGACAGATTAATTTATGTGCACTGGAAGTGGGCTATATATTTCATGAACTCTGCGATGAAGAAGAAAAAGTGAATTCCTCCTGTATTTTGTGGCATGGAAGTATGAGGGTAGTTCATGCATAGTTCATTTTAAACATTCATGCTGTCAGTAATACATTGAACACAATGTGTGTGTGGGGGGGTGTCTGACACCTACAAAATATGGATGGGCAGAAATCATATTGCAATAATAAATTAACATTTAAAATACTTTTTGCCTGATTAATGATTCTATATTTTCATTAACATTAATTTTAATGTTACATTTTTCTCAAATGCTTAATTGTGATAAATCTTAATTGTAATTTTAAATGTATACTTAAAGTTTTTATGTTCTTTTTCCTATTGTTGAAGAAGATAAGCATATATGCAATCCAGATTTACCTCTGTCTGCTCCAGAGAAAATTACAGAAGATGCTGGAGATGACTTTTCTTTGTAAGTAAAACTCTGTTAACCCATAAATTGTTTTTTTGCTGCTTTTAAATCAGAAGTTAAAACTTCATTTGGAAAATAAGGTGCACTAAACAGATTAGAGTTCTTTAGTCAAAATGACTGTTCTGAATATGAATTTCATCCTTTCCCATTATTTCTCTGTCTTTTTGTCTATTTACATAGGTCAGTGATGGCGAACCTTTTAGAGACCCAGTGCCCAAACTGCAACCCAAACCCACTTATTTATCACCGGGTACCGGGTGGGTGTGGCCGCGGTGGTCATGGCAGACTGGGTGGGTGGGGCCAGGATGGCGGGGGCCAGTCCCTTGCCATCTCCGGGGCATGACACGCGTGCCCACAGAGAGGGCTCTGAGTGCTGCCTCTGGCACGCGTGCCATAGGTTAGCTACCACTGACATAGGTTCTTTGTATCTTATTTTATCTTCTCTCTTTAGATTGTTTTCAGTTTTTGCCCTCCTCACCTACACTTCTCCAATTCATCTTCCCGACTGCTGACTGCTTTCCTAAACTTTTTTCTCCCTGCTCTGCCTTTTTCTAGAAATTGAAATGCCCTTGAATGGCAAATACATAATGATTTGACTGGTCTACTTCTGCATAAACTAAACATTGCTGAACATTTTATAATCACTGGAGGAGGAATTTGCCTTGAGTCTTTATAAGCAAGTCTGTGTTGCCCAGTCAGCATAGTTCTCTGGGGCCTTGTCTGTGGAGATTCTCAGTCATCCTGGTCACAGTTGTCTCAAAGTTGCCTTTTTAAAAAGCACCTTAGAGATCTCTGTGGCTATGTGTGTCACTGATGGTGCACAGGAGACTAGGTGAGACACATCTTCCTTCCTCAACCCAGGAAAAGAGGCCAAAAGGAAGAAGAATGGGGAGGTGGGCAGAGTTCCTGGTCTCCTGTTGAGCATCTGGACACAGCATTTCCTGCAGTCCAGAATTGGAGTAGTTAAGCTCAGGCTTAACTTCCAAAATAAGATTATATTTTCACAATAGTAATCTCTCTCATTATTTGAATAAGTTTTATTCAGTTGCTTTTAGGCAAAATCTGTTCCTACATCAGCAAACACCCTATGTAAGCATAATTTTCAGATTTGTGGATAAACAGGCTATTCCCACAGAGGCAGGTAATTGTTCAGCCCAGGTTAGCTTTTGCTCATTAATTTGCCAATACTATCAATAACAATACTGCAATTTTTATGTCCGAAAAACTTACTATAAGTGATAATGTAACAAGAGAATCCTTATAAACATATTTGTATCCTTCTTAGAAAATGTAGTTCATTGATAGAATTCAGGTGGATTTTTTTTAAGTATTTTGTGTTTTAGAGAGAACTTAGTGGAACTTAACAATATGAAAAGCGGGGGCATTACTACATAGATAAACAAAATTGTAGAAGTTCAATTTATAAATATTATTGGATCAAGATCATTGTGCTGCTTGCTTAATGCAAATAACCGTGAAAGCTGCCTGAATAATAAATATCCAGCACCTCTGTCCGGATTTTAGCCTACCTAAGCCGCATCCAGCATAGAATATCTAAGGGGTTCAATTAATACAATAGCTACCTGCCACTCTTTTTTTATGTTGATTCCCAACAGAATCCCTTTACATTGAGATTATATACCAGCCTAGGCAGTATTCACACACATTCCCATTTGCTATGAAGGTAGGATGTAAAAAAAGCATGCATCAGACATGGAGAGATTGAATTATCAGGTTCACTGAACAATATTATGTGTGAACAAATCCTAATATCTCACTGATTGCTTGACACTTTTTTTTAAATTTTTACATGTACGAATATAAACGGCAGACTGGAAATTAATGAGGGAATGGATTTAAGAATTGGAGAATCCGCCGAGACATCTTCCATGTTCTACCAGGATCATGTCTGTTCTAAGAAATGTCTTTCCAAACGGCCATGGGATTCCTACAAAGGGGAAAACCCTTTGAAGTTGCCAATGCTGTGTCACTTTCAGAGATGGCATGCCAAAGCAGACTCTGGCTCAAAATCACACGATGTGATATACAAATCTCCTTGTGGAAAAAGCCTGAGAAATTTCAAAGACGTGCAGAATTACTTATTTCAAACAGAATGCAGCTTTTTATTTTTAGATCACTTTTCTTTCAATACCTATGTGCAGTTATTCAGAAGCAGTCTGAGTCCCCAGGCATTTGTCATTGATCCAGATATCAGCCAAGGGGCAGAGACTGTACCAGTATCATTCTGTAATGATATCAACCATGATTGGCTGCCTTGCTTTAAATACCGGAAGACCTCTTGGCCCCATGGATACTTCTTGAACAACTTCTCCAGCAGTTTTCTTGACTCCTGCAGCTGTACCGATGGTTGCATTGACAGGTGAATAATTGTCCATTTTTAAACAGCTTTTTGAATAAATTGTTTAAGTATGTGTGTAGTGATGAAACAGTGGGGTGATGCCTGTCAGAATGAGATATGCCAAAAGTATGCTTCTTTAAATAATGGCTTGTTAAAAGTATCCGTGGCTTCTACAAGATTTGAGATCAAACATAGACACTTGATTATTTTTGAATATTTATATTGCAGAATCTTGAAAGGCCCTATTTAAAGGGGAAAGGTCAACTTGCATTGTAAAGGAATTATTTGTTGAAAGCCTTAATTTTTAAACTTAAGGAAATATCTTCCCTGGAATATGTAAACTTTTCTGTGTTATTGCTCTTCACTTGCATGTGAAATGGTAGAGCATTAAGATGATTCTGTGAAATTACATAAATGTGGAAATATGGCCATCATTGGAGAAGTCCATCAAAATTCCAAATGAAATACACCCAGGAAAGCACTTAAGTAATATATTTGCTTTCTCTGAAAATGTTATCACACCAGAAACCGGGGAATAAATGGGCCATGTTGCTTTATTTCATATCCTTATTTCCACTAGATCTACTGTGTGCTTTCTAGGACAAAATGTACGTGCCTGCTTCTAACTAAAAAGGCCGCCTTGAAAGCTTCTATGTCTCCAAGAAATGGACCATCTCACGGTTATACTTATAAAAGGCTGGAGGACCCTATTTCCAGCGGGTAAGGAATACTATAGTTAAGTTTGTGCTGCTTGTTATGTTGTATCTAATTTACTCACATGTTTCACTCATATAAATTCTGTTGCATTGCTCTTTTATATTATTATGGCTGGCCGCACAATCAGCCAGATATTTAGGGTTAGGGTTAGGGTTTGGCATTCTTATCCACCCATGAGGCCTTCCCAAGGACCCAGGATAGGCATCTGTTGCTGTTTAATGATGTTAAAGGCATAAAGGTATAAGCTGTTCCAAATAAATTGGAACTGCAATTTACAATTGACTGATAGTGATTTTGCTAGTGCTGATGATGTTCAAGTGATGCTCCAGTTGGCTGTATATACAGACAGTATTGAATAGCAAATTTCAGATGGTGTTTTTCCATACAGCTTCAGATATTATTACTATTAACTACCGGTACTACTACTACTATTCTGGTGTCTTTGAGTCAGGGTTGATTCCAGGCAACTGCAGTTTTCTTGGAAAGGTTTTTCAGAAGTGGTTTATGGTTTGCCTGTTTCCTGCTAGGGCTGAGAGAGTGGGACTGGCCAACGTCACCTGGCTAGCTTCATATCTAAGGCGGGACTAGAATTCATGGTCTCCTGGTTTCTAGCTTGGTGCTTAATCATTATACCAGACTGGCTCTCCCTTTTAAATAACAGTTTATAATATAATTATTAGAAAATTTGTTTCTCATTTCACCAAAGAACTAAGGGGGGTGGGGAGGAAATGCAAATTATGTTGAAGAATCTAGTTTGAGCTGGATATTGTGGTACTCTCAAATGGTTAATGTGTTTGCAACCCAGGCTTAGACCTGAAAGTTATAGGCAGTTTTTAGAGCATTGTAATTGTCTTGAATTGACCTATTTACCTATTTGCGTTATATGTAAACCTGTCTTTCATTACTTACATGAGGAGCATTTTAAAATAAAAGGTTGTAAAGATCAGTGTTTGTTTTGAGTGTGGCTGATATCCTTGACTTATGAGTGTTCATTTAATGATGGTTTGAAGTTTTGATTAGTCTTGGAAAAAGTGCCTTATGACCTCAAAGTTACACCTGTTGCACCATCCCCATAGTCATGTGATTGTAATCAGGTGCTTGGCACCTAGCTTGCATTTACAAGTAGTAAATGTAGTCATGTGATCGCAATTTTCAACTTTTCCAACCAGCTTCCAACAAGCAAAGTAAATTGGGGAAGTGAGATTTACCAAATGTCCGCAATGATTCCCTTAATATCTGTGGTAAAAATAGTTGTAAAATCAGATCTAGTCATGTGATGACTTGCTTATGACTGCATTGATTTACAGAATCATAGGACTTGAAGGGACCCTGGAGGTCTTCTAATACAACCCCTCCCAAAAGCAGGAGTCTTCATTGCATCCTGAACAAATGGTTGTCCAGTCTTTTCTTGAGAACCTCCAGTGATGGACACCCTACAACAGAAATTCCCAATTGTGGTTATAAGTCAAGAACTACCTGTACTGTATTGTGTCTCTGTATTGAACCTAAGTAGAATAGAATAGAGCTGGAGGGGACCTTGGAAGTCTTCTAGTCCAGCCCACTGCTCAAGCAGGAGAAACTATACCATGTCAGACAAGTGACTGTCTAGCCTCTTTTTAAAAATCTCCAGTGATGGAGTACCCGCGATTTCTGGGGGTAAACTATTCCACTGGTTAATTGTCCTCAATGTCAGGAAGTTTCTCCTTAATTCCAGGTTGCTTCTCTCTTTGATCAGTTTCCAACCATTGTTTCTTGTCCTTCCCTCTGGTGCTTTGGTGAATAATGTGATCCCCTCTTCTTTGTGGCAGCCCCTCAAATACTGGAATACTGCTATCATTTCTCCCCTATTTCTTCTTTACTTTAGACTAATCAAATCCAAGTCCTGCAGCTGTTCTTCGTATGTTTTAGTCTCCAGGCCTTAGTTGCTCTTCTCTGAATTTTTTCCAAACTCTCAACATCTTTTTTGGGATATGGTGACCAAAACTGGCTGCAGTATCCCAGGTGTGGTCTTACTAGGGTTTTATAAAGCATACTTCGTGTGATCTTGATTCTATGTCTTTGTTTATACAACCCAGGATTGTATTAGTTTTTTTGGCGGCTGCTACACACTGCTAGTGCATAGTCAAGTGATTGTCCAATAGGAGTATCAATAAATACTTTCTCCGCTAAGGAATTCCAATAGTTGTTCAATCTAAAGACACAATAAATAAATGCGTTCATCTAGGAATGCCAGTTGTTAATATATAAAGTGTACATTTTAAAAACATTATCCATCATTGTATATTTTAAGAATTCTCATGTGTTGCTAGACCATTTGTTGATTTCCATTTGCCCAGTCAATTGGGCCAAATCTTGTACTGTTCATACATTTGTTATTTTCTTTAGAAACCTGCTGTTTTGCAACAGTGTAGTAACTGAATTGTCTTGCCTTGTGTTCATATGCTCATTGCCTATTTTTTTTCATCTTTCTCTGTCTAAGCAAGCAGCATCCATATTGTAAGACCCAAAGGATTTAATTTGTGTTTGTGTGTGTGTCTGTCTGTCTGTGATCACACGCACTTTTATGCTTTTCCTCATAATCTTCCTTTATCTTTGTGTATCAGAATTTATGAATGCAGCTTGCTCTGCAGCTGTGACAAGAACAGGTGCCAGAACAGATTGGTACAGCACGGCCTTCAAGTTCGCTTACAAGTTTTCAGCACTGGAAAGAAAGGCTGGGGAGTTCGCTGCCTTGATGACATTGACAAGGGAACATTTGTTTGTACATATGCAGGTAGAGCAAAAGTATTTTAAGCACAGATGGAAACTGATTTTATTTTATACGTGTCTACCCTCATGCACATATTATCCACACACACATACATAAACACAATAGAAGATTGAGTCATCGCTGAACATTTCAGTACTGAGTAAACATTATATTCCAATGTTGAATTAATAATTGCATAAATATTGGTTGATGTTAATTTGTTTCTGTAGGAACAATTTCACTATTTCTTCTGTTTTCAGGCTATGTAGTTAATTAGATATCTCAAATAGATGCTTTACTTATAAAAAAAGTGTTTAAGGAAATCAGTATTCTAGTTGTGATTTTATTTTACTTAAAAAGAATCTTTTCTAGCATCTTGTCCTGACTGACTAGGCAATATTCTCTCTGTGAAGCTGTCTGCAGAACTAATATTGCATTTTATTTATTTTATTATTTTTATACCGCCTTTATTACTTTATAAGTAACTCAAGGCTGTGAATATACATTGTATTCCTTCCTTCTCCTTTTTTCCCCACAACAACAACTCTGAGAGGTGAGTTGGGCTGAGAGAGAAAGTAACTAACAAAGTCACTCACCCGGTTTTCACACCAAAGGCAGGACTAGAACTCACAGTCTCCAGGTTTCTAGCCTGGTGCCTTAACCATCAACTGGCTTGACCCAGCCTCTTAAACAGCTTTATTTCAGGGTCATTGTTATGTCCTCTTTCATAGCTATCAGTGATATTATAATTGCTTTAATTGTATATTATATTAAAATTTTTAAATATATGTGAGCCCCTTCTCCCCACCCCCAAAGAAATGTGCATGACATAGTGAATACCACACTGAAAAATTTGGAGCTGTTTAATCAGCAAATTGCATTTTAGAGCTTTGAGATTTATGAAATGCTCCAGTTGGTTTGGAACAATCTTTGTAAGTGGTACAATATTTCAGTATATTCTCATCTGCTAAAAGGGAGGGCTCTTCTGACATCATCCTGTAGGGCTATTTTAGTCCCTGACAGTTTTCCCTTTCCCACATCTGACATAATAGCATCCAGGAAACTCAGAAGTGCTTCTGAAGTTGTGCATAGTTTTTTTTGAAATTTTAGTTTGCAGTCATATTTGCACATAGTTTATCTTGAATGTAGAACTGTATCTCCAGAGCAGAAACCACTTCTTTATTTTTGGATGATCTGGTTTCACTTCCAGATCATCCAAAATTCACTTAAGCAAGTGGCTAAGCACTCAACCACTTAAGACTGCTATGTGAGGAAGAAAAATATTCAAGTATGTCCTCACTGTAAACTGTCCTTGTTCAGCCTGTTTTGTTTTTGTGGGAGGAGGTTTCATTTTTCTTGTGGCCACAGTATGCTAATGGGTTTCTTGTTTCTCATTATCCCACATAGACTTTATTTCTGTCAGTTTTTACTGTTGGCAATTACAGTTCAATGGAGTGATAAAAAATAATGTTGTAATCTGAAATTAATATTAAATGTTGTATTCCTGTCCTGTATTTAGATTTAGACTCTGTAACATATAAAATATATACAACCAGTAGGGCAAGGGGAAGTCCGCTTTAGGCATATCTGACATATCTTTTTTGCCCTCCTTAAATACTTCTCTGTTTTTACTGCTATACTTGGTGTACAAATTTCATAAATAGGGTGTTTTATTCCAGGGAGATTGATGTCCAGAGATGAACATTACCAGGGTAAAAATAATGGTGAAGTTGAAGAAGAAGTTACCAAGAATACCAACCAGAGTTTATTTTCAAGAAAGAGAAAACTGGGTACAGTCTGTTCTGATTCAGAAAATGAACTTATTCAGGACACTGGAAGACAACAATCTTTACATCTGAATGCTGAAGGTCAACCAAATCAGTAAGTTAACAACAATTACATCTTTAAATAGTTATCATTGCTTCACTGTTTGAATCTGGATAGAGCCACTTTTATGGTCCATCTAGTACTGACTCATTAATAGCATAAACATGTAATGTGTACCTCTAACAATACAAGCATTTAAAAATCCATGTTAGATCAGAATACATACACAATTGCTCTGAGTAAGCATGGCTCCTCTCCCCTTAACATTAAGTAATGAGGGAGGAGTTTGTTAGAGAGTCTGATTTTTGGTGGTAGTAAAGAAAGAGAAAGAAATTAAGCCCACCTATCAGACCCAGAGAAGATACAATCCAACTGAGAATTATGTGTTCAGAATAATAAATAAGAATAGTGTTAGAAAGTTGAAATTATTTTACATGTGCTTGAGGCAAATGACCGATTTCTTTCAAGACAAATTTTTAGGCTTAATCTCCACTGTGGCTGAGCCTACCCAAATTATTCCTTTGTTCATCTTGCCTCTCCTGATGCTTAACCCTCACCTCTACATTTAACAATCCTCTATATTTTCTTCATTGTTGTGTATTCCTAAGAGCATTAAACATATCTTTTAAATATCCATATGTTGGAATGGTGGGGGAGGGGCCTCTAGGTGACTAAAGGGGAAAGCATTTTTCCCTTTATTTTATAACCATAGTTGAGGCTAAAAAGAAAGTGGTAGCAGCAAATATTTGCTGAAAACAATAAATGTTGGATCATTCTAAAGTACAGCAGACCTAGTTGTGAAAAAGAGTCTTACAACACTCAAAGAAAGAAACAACATGCAACAAACAAACCCCTTCGGCCCAATCCTACCCAGCCAGGAGCAACTGAGCAATCGATTTCTCCCCTTAGAAGGAAACATGCAGACCCACAACCTCCCCCTCAAAGAAGAAATGCAGACACCTAGCAAAGAAACAACTTCAAATAATCCTAAAAAAGTCACCTCAAATATCCCTAAAGAAGCCACATCAACAAACACACCTGAAACAAACAGAAAAGCACCTCAGATTGCACCCCCCCCAAAAAAGAAAGGAGAGTGTTGGTAATAGGAGATTCTATCCTCAAATGAACAGAATCATCCATCCAAACATACAATCCAGGGAGGTATGCTGTCTCCCTGGAGCAAAAATCAAAGATGTGGCTGAGAACCTAACCAAAATAATTAGGCCCACAGATTACTACCCCCTCCTCCTTGTCCACATTGGAATGAACGACACTACAAACAATCTGAGTGCCATAGTGAAAGACTACAAACAACGAGGCAACAAAGATAAGCTAGGCGCACAAGTAGTGTTCTCATCAGTGCTCCTAACAAAAGGCCAACAACCACTGAGGGAAAAAGAATTTTAGAAATAAACCACTGGCTAAAGGGTTGGTGTCACCAAGAAAACTTTGGTTTCCTGGATCACGGACTGCATTTTCAACATGAAGGACGGCAAGGGATGGGCTACACCTCACGGAAACAGGCAAAAATGTACTTGGAAAAAGATTGGCCCAACTCATCAGGAGGGCTTTAAACTAAAACTGAGGGGGGTGGGTGACCAATCTCTAGAATCTCTAGAATCCAAAACCAATCACAAATCCCAAGAAAACAAACCAAACAACGAGGTAGGCAGAGATGAGAAAAAAGAAAAACTCAAACAACAATCAGGAGATACAGGAAACATACCCACGGACAGGCATAAAAGCCTTAAATGCTTATACACAAATGCTCAAAGCTTGGGGAACAAATAGGGCAAACTAGAAGCAATAGTACACGAGGGAGGATATGACATAGTTGGCATAACAGAAACCTGATGGGACAAAACCCATGAATGGAATGGACAGATGGATGGATACAAATTGTTCAAAAGAAACAGGTCTACAAAAAGAGGAGGGAGAGTTGCACTATATGTAAGAGAACACTACATATCTGCAGAAATGCACATGACCCAAGACAATCTCTCCAGAATGTATATAGGTCAGTATAAAAGAGAAAGGAAGTGACATTACCATAGGTGTATATTACAGGCCATCCAACCAACCATAAGAAATAGATGAACTCTTTGCCAACCAGCTAACAAATGTATGTGGGAAGCATACCACAGTAGTAATGGGAGATTTCAACTATTCAGATATCAACTAGGAGACAAACTCTGCAGTGAGCGGGAGATCAAACATTCCTAACCAACCTAGCCGACAACTTTATCACCCAAAAGGTGGAGGAGGGAACTAGATGCAAAGCTATACTGGGCTTAATCCTTACAAATAGAGAAGAAGCGATAGAGGGAATCGAAATTGCCGGAACCTTGGGCGAAAGTGACCATGTCATACTGGAATTTAATATAATGCAAACACTAGCAATAGAAAACACTCCAACCAATGTCCTAAACTTCAAAAGAGCCGACTTTGACAAGCTCAGAGAGGATCTAGGAAATATCCCATGGATGAAAATCCTAAAGGGGAAAACAACCCAAGAAGCATGGGAAACTCTGAAAAACACAATCACAAAAACCCAGATCAGCACAATACTATTGAGAAAGAAAAACAAATCCAGGAAGAAACCAACATGGCTGCACAAAGATCTCACTAACAAACTAAAAGACAAAACGGACAAATACAAAAAATGGAAAGAGGGGCACATAACCAAGGCCGGTTATCAGCAGACAGCCAGAACATGCAAAGAAGAAGTCAGGAAAGCAAAGGCTCAAAATGAACAAAGACTTACAACAGAAATCAAGGACAATAAAAAAAGTTTCTTCCAACACATTAACAACAAGAAAAAAGTCAAGGAAAGAGAGAAGATGGCAAGGAAATTACAGGCAACAGGGAGAAAGCTGAGCTGCTTAACTCATACTTTGCATCAGTCTTCACACAAAAAGAAACTGTAGCCCAACACCCAAAAAACCACTAGAAGACATACTAGAAACAAAAATCAAAATAAGCAAGAAAATTGTAAGAGAACACCTATCCAATCTTGACGAATACAAATCACCAGGACCTGACAGATTACATCCCAGAGTTCTGAAAGAGCTGGCAGGAGTTATCTCAGAACCATTGCACCATATCTTCCACAAATCCTGGAGCACCGGGGAAGTACCCGAGGATTGGAAAAGGGCTGATGTGGTCCCCATCTTCAAGAAGGGGGGAAAAACGGACCCAGGAAACTACGACCAATCAGTTTAACATCAATACCTGGGAAGATCCTAGAAAAGATAATCAAAAAACCAGATCTGCGAACAACTAGAAGCAAACAAAGTCATAACTAGCAGCCAGGGTTTGTTAAAAACAGATCATGCCAGACCAATCTGATCTCATTCTTCAATAAAGTAACTAAACTAGTAGACCAGCGAAATGCAGTGGATGTAGTATACCTAGATTTCAGTAAGGCATTTGATAAAGTAGACCACAACCTACTCCTTGGTAAAGTAGAAAAAGATGGAATAGAAAACATCATCACTAGATGGATCTGTAGCTGGCTGACAAACAGTACTCAACGAGTAGTTCTCAATGGCACTACATCCACATGGAGAGAAGTAAGCAGTGAGGTACCACAAGGTTCCGTCTTAGGCCCAGTACTCTTCAATATCTTCATCAATGACTTAGATGAGGGAATTGAAGGGGAACTCATCAAATTTGTAGATGACACCAAACTGTCAGGAGTAGCCAACACCCCAGAAAACAAACTCAGGATCCAAAAGGATCTTGACAAACTCGAACAATGGGCCCTGTCCAACAAAATGAGTTTCAATGTGGAGAAAAGCAAAGTCTTATACTTAGGTAGGAAAAACCAAAGGAACAAATACAGATTGGGAGAGACCTGGCTTGGAGGCAGCAACCGTGAGAGGGACCTTGGAGTCCTGGTGGACGATCACTTAACTATGAGCCAGCAGTGTGCAGCAGCAACCAAAAAAGCTAATACAATCCTGGGTTGTATAAACAGAGGCATAGAAAAGATCACACGAAGTACTAGTACCACTTTATAAAGCCCTATTAAGACCACACCTGGAATACTGCAGCCAATTTTGGTCACCATATCACAAAAAAGATGTTGAGAGATTGAAAAAAATTCAGAGAAGAGCAACTAAGATGATCAAAGGCCTGGAGACCAAAATGTTTGAAGAACGGCTGCGGAACTTGGGCTTGGCCAGTCTAAAGAAAAGAAGAAATAGGAGAGACATGACAGCAGTGTTCCAATATAGAGGGGCTGCCACAAGGAAGAGGGAGGTCACATTCACCAGAGCAAAGGACAAGAAACAATGGTTGGAAACTCATCAAAAAGAGAAGCAACCTGGAATTAAGGAGAAACTTCCTGACAGTGAGGACAATCAACCAGTGGAACAGCTTACCCCCAGAAATCGTGGGCGCTCTATCGCTGGAAGTTTTTAAAAAAAGATTGGACAATCACCAGTCTGAAATGGTATAGATCCTCCTGCTTGAGCAGGGGGCTGGATTAGAAGACCTCCAAGTTCCCTTCCAGCTCTATTCTATTCTATTTTATCATACAAAAATGCAAATCATAATAATATTACAGAATGTGGTGATGTCCTTTAGTACAGCAATTCTAAAAACTTCTTAGTATATGAATGATTCTTTAATGCCGTAAATCTCTTCTCAAATTATGTAGATGCTGGACTTTTAACATAGTTCAATTAATAATAATTAATAATATAGAAGCTCTTTTTTTCAGTAGAATGTGCTAAATCTCCCAAATGAATGAAACTCTCAAGTGGATATGTAAGTCTGTTTACACAACAAAAAGTTTAGGTAAATTTGTAGTCTTTGTAGGCATTTACAACACAAAATTTCCACAAGATGACAAGGAATTTGCTGTAAACACTGGACAATTACTAGGACAATTATTACAGTTAATAATTAAAAAATAGTTTAAAGAATTCTACTTTAACGTATGCTCTATAAAACCATGTTTCTGTTAGCAGAATTCAGAACTACACTTCATACAAGAATTGGAATGTAGAAACTATTGCAAGACCTAAAACATCACTTCTTCAAAGACACCAGCAAGAACTAGTAAATATTCTGCATTTATTTTTAGACTGCCTTGTTGGGTTTTTACTTTTTTTTAATCTATGCTTCAACCGTTTCAAATTTCTTCTGTTTCTACATTTGATAGCCAGGTGACAGGGGAAGATCTTAATTTGCTCAGAGAGTAATAATACAGTATTGTAGTATTCTTCAACCTCAACAACTTTAAGATATATGGATTTCAGCATGCCGGCTGGGGAATTTGGGGAGCTGAAATCTATGTATCTTAAAGTTAGTGAGGTTAACGAACTATCCTACGCTGTCCCATACTTATATATATATGCAGGTCTTGGCGTATTCGGGTCTTTTCCCGTGTAAGATTGAGAGTATCTTACATGGGAAAAGACCCGAATACGCCAAGACCTGCATACCTGTACCCGTGAAAATCTACGAAAACATACATACATACATATATACATACATACATACATACATACATACATACATACATACATACATATATACATGCAGACAGCCCAGGTTCGAATCTCAGAAGGGTATGTCTGGTTGAAAAGAACTAAAAAGTTTGAAATGGCTATTCCAGTTCTCCCTTAATTCTTTGTTAGCAATCCAAATTTTGATATATATATATATATCTTTTGACGAGATTGCAGATAATCCTCAATTTATGATCACAATTGGGACCAGAATTTCTGTTGCTAATCAAATGAGTCATGACTGAATTTATGACCTTTTCTGCCACAGTTGTTAAGCAAATCACTGTGGTTTTTAAGTGAATCTCAGGGTTGTTAAGTGAATCCAGCTTCCCCCATTGATTTTATTTGTTGAAAGCCAGGCAGGAAGCTCACAAATGGCAATCATGTGACCCCAGGATGTTGCAACCTTCATAAACACACACATGGTTGCCAAGTGCCCAACCATGGGGATACTGCTGCAACGGTCATAAATGTAAGACCAGTTGTAAGTGACTTTTTTCTGTGCTGTTGTAACTTCGATAGGTCACTGAACAAATGGTTGTAAGTCGAGGGCTACCTGTACTGTTTAGATATGTGTCGATTATTCTGAGCTTGAAATAACTATCTTGAGATTAAATCAAACTGTTTTGACCTTAATGAATGTGCTCCAACATTTCATTGAACTGACAAATAAAATTGTAGTTGTCCAGTTCAAATTTGAAAAGGCTATTTTGCATTTGAGCAGTTCTGAGCTTGAAACATTTCATGAACTTTTGCAGCTAGGAGAAGTAAGAGAGTCTGAGAAAGGAGATTATTTTAGGATAGCACTGTTTCCTGAATCTACTTTTAAATTTGTTCTTCCAAGATGGATGCACGAGAGTACTCTGTTTCACAGACTGATCCTCCCTAAGTAGAGTATTTGGGTTTGAATGGAGAGTTAATTTTTATTTATCTTAGCTCACCCTTGGCCAATATATGTCCTGTGGAGCTATATGAAAACTAGAAAATGTGTTTGTTGTATCTGAGACCCAAGAAACTGGATAGTTTCTAGAAAAAAGATCAAAACCTTCAGAAACCAACAAAAGAAATCCAGGATTACAATTCCTAGTTTGTCTACTCTTACTGGATTTCTTTCTTCAAAGAGAATTACTGATGCCAGCTCTGATGAAGACGAGAGTTCTTTGTGTCATATGTCAGGAACAAGAAGAATAACTCCAGCAACCGAACAAAGAGATGAAGGTAAAGTTGCACCATTTTTTTTCATTTTTAACAAATTTGCAAATAAAATTGCATATCTCAAAGTCACTATTAAGGAGTTAAAAGCACTACAGTCAATGAAGTCAAAATTGCATAAACATAATGCTAAAATCTAAAAGCATGAAAAATTCTTACCAGTACAGAAAAGACTATAATATTCTATTAATATCACATCCAGACTTTGCCATGGGTTTCTTACCTCTGTAGGCAGATAGCCTCAAATATTACCTCCCTGATACTCTGATTTGAAGACTTTTGAGCAGTGATGATCTACTTGTTTGGGATAGTTCAGAATTTATGGCTACCTAGTACACAAGCTAACCTCTTGCTATGGGATCTTATACATATGTAGCAGGCATATGTGGGACACTCTGTGTGATTCTGGCATGAGAATTATATGATGCAGGTTTTTTCCTGAGCATAAGCCGTTATCAGAGATGTACAGTTTTGAATCCAGAGAAAGCAAAGGTACTTCAGATCCTCCATCGGCATCTTTCCTATATTTGTTGGCAGCTCCTTAAAAGAGTGGTGCCTCTTCCTGGATTTGTAAACTCAGGAAGCAGAGACAATGCAATGACATTAACCTGTCATTATCCCTGGAAAAAGTGTATCTCCTGTAAGCAGCTGCCAACAGATAAAGCACAGTATTCACAGCAGATCCAAAGCAGCTTTGTCCTTTGAACCAAATACTAAAAACATAGGTATGGCCATGATCGTGCTCTGAATCTGATAGAGCTTTGGATTCAAAAATAATCTATATAAATAAAAATGTAAATGTTCGTTTGTTCAAAATCTTAAATCTCTGAAGGTTCTTCACCGATTGCTTTGAAATTTTGACACAACGTTGCATTCGAATATGCGCATTTTATATACCTATATTATATAGAGTCACACCTGTGACAGGTAAAAACATGTTTTTTTGAAAAACAGCATCATCTGTTGGACGTAAAAGCAACACACACTTTTACCAGACTGAGCCACAGCAACGCGTGGCCGGGGACAGCTAGTATTTTAATAAATTGGTCTAGCAAACTTAAATCAGAGCATCTACACTAGATAATGGAAGGTGTGACTGTGAGATGCTCCTAAATTTATATGCTAATTTTGAAATGCTTCTTTACAGAATCAAGCCTGCAAGGAGAATTTGAGAAATTGGTAAACACTCTAAATTCTGAAGCTAATACTGACTGCCATAAAGAGAATCTCCTTTCCAATGCTGCGTTGAAAAGTAAACTGCCTATGCAAGATGGCAGAGAAGTGAAAAAACAACATAAGAACATTCTTGAGTCAGACAGCACAATAAAGGGAAAAACTCAGAGAAACAGACAAGAACTTGCTTGTATGACTGAGGCAGCAGAAATTGAGACATGTCCAAAGAATGAAGAAAATCCTTGTTTGCTGGATGCCACAAGGGAAGGCAATGTAGGCAGGTTTCTTAATGTAAGTTTTATTTCTTTACTTCTTTAGATTCAGTTTATATAGCCACCTATCTCAGCCAATAGCTTTGGGCAGCAAGCAATATTTAAAATCAAAGTTTAAAAATATAATTGTAATCATAAAAATTAAAATATACAGCAGCCAAGAAAAATGCAGCTATCACTAACACAACCGGGAGATGTATCCCTTCATAGGCTCAGGGCCCCAGGACTTCAGAGCTTTATGAAAGGGCCAGCAAGGATAGGGATATCCTGATCTCCAAGGGGCGAATGTTCAGTACTGTGGGTGCTGCAACAGAAAAGGCTCACCTCGGCCCTGACAGCCAACATTCCTTAGCCGACAGGACCCAGAATATCTCCATCCTGCTTGGCCAGACAGGTAGAAACAACTGGGGGAAAATGTTTCCTTAAGTAACCCAGTCCCATGACGTGAAGGGTTTTAAAGGTGACAACCAGCTCTTTGAATTACATCTGAAAGCACACTGGCAACCAATACAGTTCACAGCACACTTTACTGTAGATGCAGCACACAGCACACTTTACTGTACATGCAGCTAATATTATGCTAATTTTGAAAAATGTTTTGTTACAGTTTTGCTTGCTATGTGTTGAAATAGGAATAGCAATAGCACTTAGACTTATATACCGCTTTACAGTGCTTTACAGCCCTCTCTAAGCCAGGGCTTTTTAACCAGTGGTACGGGTACCACCTGTGGTACATTGGCACCTGGCAGGTGGTACGCGACCATCCTAGAAAAGTGTTAGCGGGGGAGGGGAATGAGCTGAACCAGTGGCAGTACCACACAAGCCTGAGCGAGAGATGGCTGGAGCTGCAGGGCTGTCAGGGCTCAGCGGAAGCGCCAGGATGAGCGCTTCTTCAGGACTGTCAGGGCTCAGTGGAAGCGCCAGGCTCCAGCTGGAGCTCAGCATTGATCCTGGCGTTTTCTGCTGAGCCTAGAAGAAGCGCCGATCAGCTGGAATGTTGCAGCATCTCCAGGGTCTTGTGATTTACATTCAGATGCTTGGCAACCGATTCACATTTATGACGGTCACAGTGTCCCAGGATCATGTGAAGTGACCAAAACCTGCTGCAACCACCCAGTAGACGGGGGGAATAAAAACCAAACACCCCCCCACCCCTTTGCCAATCCTCAACAATGAAAACCTCGGACAGGAGGAAGAGCGCCACCGGATGGGCAGGCAGGTGTCTTGCTCAGCTGTGGCTTGGGGGCACTTTTTTCAGTGCCATTGTAACTTCGAACAGTCACTAAGCAAAGTGTTGTAAATCGAGGACTACCTGTACTTTATTACTTTTTTCCTCTTTTTTTTGGTCATCAGGTTTTTGACACCTTGCTGGTGGTACTTGGATGTTGCCATATTCTAAAAATGATACAATGGGTGAAAAGGTTGAAAAGCCCTGCTCTAAGTGGTATACAGAGTCAGCATAGTTTTACTTTTATTGGTTTGGTTGAACTCAGTGGTAAAATGGTCACCCAAGAAGTGTGGACAGTGGGAGAGTGACTAATCTCTTACACCCAGTGAGCCAGCAGCAAAATTACAATGTATAATTGTATAATTTACCAATTATAAAGAAATAGGACATGGACATTTATCGACTAGAGACTACTGAAGATTATTCTACAGCTGATAAGAGAAAAAGATAAGCATAAAGAATTGAGAGTAAAATGTTAAGAAAAGTGTAACCATTTACTGTGAAAGGCAAGTCTGTCTGCTTTTGATATGGCAGGAAGCCAGGTCTCTAATTGGAATTCTAATATTTTGATTCCTGATCCTAAGGCTGAGGAGTTGATAAGGATGCTAATGATCAGAATCCTTAAGAGAGTTACCATACAGTTTCTTGAAACACAAAGGTTGAGAGGGTCTTGCAAGAGTGATAGAGCTAACAATGTTTAACCAACTAAACAAGAGATGTTAATAAATAGCATATAAAATATATAAAAAACAGCACTATGGTTTTATAACCTATTAATACTGAATACACAGATTTTGTCCCTTTATAAAACCGTTTTCCTCCTTTGTCCTTTTGCATTAATGATGTTAAATACTACAGAAAAGAATACTTTACCCAGGCATTGGTGCCTGACTCTATGTCAAAAAAAATGATCCAAATGTGCACAGAAAGTATATTAAAAGAAAACAGGTGCTCCTATTTTAACAGTTATTTATTTTGTTTATAGCACAGCTGCTCTCCTAATCTCTTCGTACAAAGTGTATTTGTAGAGACTCACAACAGAAATTTCCCCTGGGTGGCATTCTTCACAAAGAGGTTTGACATATTTTTCTTTGTTAACAAATCCTAAGCATAATTCTGTGAGCAAAAATAGATTTCTACTAAGAAAAAAAATGTATAAAACTGAATATTTGTTCTGTGGTTATCTTGTACTAAACAATACAGAAGGCAGAAAATGGAACGCTGTTACTGCTGAGCCATATTAAAAAGAAAAAACTAGCAAGAGTTTTATCCCATTTATATAAAGGCAAATAAGATGCAGCTCTAGGACTGTCTGATTTTTATAGCATAAGTGCTTGAGTTTGGAGTAATATATTTTTATGTCTGCACCATAAACAAATCTTGATATTTCAAGGAACTGATGAAAGAAGCTATTTTGGGATTTGAGTGTGCAGCTGTATATAGTATGTATTGATTAATAGACTGTTTATCCGTAACATTAAACACTTCAGTTTTTATCATGGGTAAATGCTCTTAGTTTTTTTAGACATTATTAAATATTAATCATATTAATTATAAAAGAGAGGAAAAGCATGATTTAAAGTGAGTTTGCAAACCATTATTAAAAACCAATAACATGTTTTAGTTGTTGCAGGAGAGATAATTTTCCTGGCTTTCCATTCTTACTAATGTTTTCCTGCAGGGACAGAGCATACTTTAGTGAATTAAACCATGATTTCATTTGTTTCTTTAATCTTCGTTAAAAACAGAAATCTTGATTAGTGCTACTTAAGCATTATGTGCTAGATCAGACATGTCAAACACAAGGCCCGGGGGCCGGATGCGGCCCGCAAAGTGGTTTCATGTGGCCCGCGAAGCCATCCTGGAAACAATGAGGGAACAGCCCCCGCTGCCTTGGTCCTGGCCCAGGCCGGCCAGGAGCCAATGTATAATTTTGTGGTGGCCATCTATGCTGAAACGCATTCAGTCTTAGCTCCACAAGGCCCTCTGGAAACAGCAAGGAAACAGCCCCTGCTGCGTCGGCCCCGCCCCATGTGCATGCTGGGGAGGTGTCACCCTTTGTGAGGAATGAAAAAATGGACCATGCCTTGGCGCTTGCCCCGGTCCCACCCCCTTCTGCCAGAGACCCTCAGATCTGTCCCACTTCTGCCCAGGCCCCCACAGGCACCCTTGACGCGAACGATGTAGAGCTGGCCACGCCCACCCAGTAGGCTGCACTCACCCTGGCCACACCCACCTGGCCCCCCGAGGGCAACCGCAATGCTGATGCGGCCCCCAATGAAATTGACACCCCTGTGCTAGATATTCAAATTTAGTAATTTAAAATTAAAATTTAGTAATCTGTTAATAAGACAGCCTGGGGGGTTATTGCTAACACTTTGGAGGATAGAGGGATCTTGGCAGATTTGAACATTGGGTCACAGCAAACAAAATGCAGTTCAAGGTAAGGAAGGTAAGATTCTGCACTTAGGTGGAATGGGTGTCCTAGTGAATCATCACTTGAATATGAGCGAGCGGTGATGCTGCAGCTGCCAAAAAGTACAATGCAGTCCTAAGCTGCATTAACAAGAGAGATAGTATCAGGATCGTGGGAAATGATAGTATCACTTTATACTGCACTAGTGAGATCATGTTTGGGAATACTATGTCCAGTTCTGATCACCAAGATAGCTGTAAGTTATGTGAAGAGCAGACATTGTTGCTTCCTTGTTGGCAGTCTTATTCTCAGAAAAGACCCATAAAAGTAAAAGTAAGCATAGGTCCTCATGGATTAATTGCTATTATTCTAATTGTGTGGCGTATTTGCTTTGCAGGTTTGTAAAAGCTGGAACTGAACTTACATGGGATTATGGTTATAAAGCTGGAAGTATGCCTGAGACAGAGACTACCTGCCAATGTGGGAGTCTGAAGTGTCGGAAAAAAATCTTGTAGAGTTTTTGTATGTATTAATCTAGATTAACCTGATGTATAAATAAATAATGTTTTTTTTTTTTAAAGGATTGATACGCATAACCTTTTTGAATCAAGGCACAGGTGCTTCCTATGTGCTTCTTGGAGACCATAGAATAGAAGGTGAACTCATCAAATTTGCAGATGACACTAAACTGGCAGGAGTAACCCAACACTCCTGAAGACAAACTCAGAATCCCAAAAGATCTTGACAAACTGGAACAATGGGCCCTATCCAACAAAATGAGTTTGAATGTGGAGAAGGGCAAAGTTTTACATTTAGGCAGGAAAAATCAAGGATAAAAGTACAGATTGGGCGAGACCTGGCTTAAAAATAGTAACTGTGAGAGGGACCTTGGAGTCCTAGTGCACGATCATTTGGCTATAAGCCAGCAGTGTGCAGCAGCAGCCAAAAAATGCTAAAACAATCCTGGCTTGTATAAATAGAGGCATAGAATCAAAATCACGCTTTATAAAACTCTAGTAAGACTACACCTGGAATACTGCAATCAATTTTGATCACCATACTACAAAAAAGATGTTGACACTTTGGAAAAAAAAAGTTCAGAGAAGAGCAACTAAGATGATCAACGGCCTGGAGACTAAAACATATGAAGAACAGCTGCAGCACTTGGGTTTGGCTCGTCTAAAGAAAAGAAGAAATAGGGGAGAGATGATAGCAATATTTCAGTATTTGAGGGGCTGCCACAAAGAGGAGGGCATCAAATTATTCTCCAAAGCACCAGAGGGCAGGGCAAGAAACAATGGCTGGAAGCTAATCAAGGAGAGAAACAACCTGGAATTAAGGAGAAACTTCCTTCCCACTTCCGGTTTGCCGATGCAGCTGCTGAGGACGTTAGGAAGGCGAGTTCCACGTCCGATTTCGCATTGCTGGGGGACTCTGGAAAGGGTTGAAAGTCGCTCTGTAGGGGCAACCAGCAAGGAAGAGATCTCTGCTTGATCACGGGAGGGCAGTAGCACTTCCGCCAGATCCGGCGCAGCCCTCCAAACCGGTGGACGAAAGACCGGCCATAGAAATATGGCTTGTCACTGGGCTGCAGACGGCCGAAGTCAAACCTATAAAGCAGGGCGGATGAGACTGGGTGAGATCTGAACCTCTCTTCAATCCTAACTATTTTTTTCATCTGTATAAGCTGCCCAAGATATTTTCCCCCCTATAGAGAGGGAAGGGAAACTCTATCCCACCCTCTAAAAATAGCGGCGACTGGCTATCCAGGGGAGTTTAAAACATTGAAACAATAACCTGGTTTTAATTGGATTTTTATCTTTTTAAAACTAAAAGATTTCCTATTTTTATTGAAGATTTGGGTTTTTACTTATAAAAAAGATGTAAAATTGGGAAAAGGACTATAAAAGTCTTGGATTTAAAAAAGAAAATTCTAAACCAGTGGTGGCGAACCTATAGCATGGGTGCCAGAGGCGGCACTCAGAGCCGTCTCTGTGGGCACATCTGCCGTTGCCCCAGCCTTGCCTCCCCCGCGACCCCCTCTCCAGCAGCCCCTCTGAAGGAGAGTCGCCCTCGAGCATGGCCCACATGGAGCAGTGCAGCCAAGGACATGGCAGCCAGGCAGTGTAGACAAGACTCTGCCCTTATACCCCATTATACAGTTGATGCTGCAGGACGCAGGCAGAGGGTGTGGCCGCTATAGCGCTGCTGGGCTGCCTGGGCAATCTGCAGCAGGCCCTGGAAGCGGTGAGTGGTCCTGTGGGCAGGCGGGATGGGGGGCCAGAGCGGGGACGAAGCAGGGGGGTGGAGCAGGGGCAGGGCCAGTTTTTGGGCACTCAGTCTCTAAAAGGTTCGCCATCACTGTTCTAAATGGTATGGGTGACATCTTATGGCTAAACCTGATACTACAACCTGTTATTGTTTAAAAGAGACTTGGCTTGAAGCCCAGATTATAGATAAGATTTGTAACCTTGACAATAAGCTGTGAGAAGCCCAGCTGTGTTCTATACTTTGTGATAAAATTATTTGTATTTTCTGACTGAAAAGCTTTTAATTCACACCACTAAGAGAACATGGATGAAAATCAGGAACAGATTTTATTTATGTTGAAAGCAACTCATGAAACTATTCTTAATGCCACTGATGAAATAAGAGGCTACAAAAAAGAACAAGATGTCAGCCTAGATATACTATCACAACCAAAGAATTAACTACACAGAATATAATAGAAGAAGTGGAGCAATTAAATACTATGATAGAAGATTCAACTGACCAACAAACACTGTTAACAGAAATCCCAGAAAAGGGATTGACAGCTTTGAAAATGGAAAAGACTTTTTATACAAATCAGAAGAAACCTGAGGACCAAGAAGAACAGACCAAAGGGAAGATAAACATTTCAGGACAACTACGTCAAGAGAGAAAAATAGATGACTTGTTAGCCCCTTCAAAAAAATGGATGGCCTTTCTTACTTCAAACAATCTATATAACAACAGAGGGAGATCTATACGATGATTTAAAAGCACAGATATAGAAGGTGGATTGGCAAAGAAAGAAAGCTAGAATAAGGCTGAAGAAAATTGGGGCTTTGATTTATTAGTAAGGATTAAAAAATATACTCAATTTAATGAGATGTATTTTGAATATTTGATTATGTGATAAACTAAGATAAACAAAATTGGTTATTTTAAAATTTGGAAGTTAAATTTGAATATTGATTTGTTTATAAAGATTGAATGTAATGCTATTTAAGATATGTATAAGTTAAAAATATATTGATAAAAGTAACAAACATGTTTTTACTTAGCTGATATAATAAAAATTATATTTTTATTTAGTTTAAATATGCGATAATAGACATTAAGAGAAAAAGAGGAAGTATTTGATGTTGAAACAAGAGAAAATTTGGTTATTAAATTTAAAATGTTTGGAAATTAATAGGAAATAAGAATGTTATACTGTATTATCAATTAGTTGATGTAAGATAGTGAGAAATAGAATATATCTAAATGATGAGATGTGTATTCTGAATATTAGACTTTGTGATGAATTGTGAAAATGGGAACTTTGGTTACTCAAAACGTGGAAATTATAAATATTAAATGTTAAAGTTAAATATTAATGGGAAATTAAAAATTGGAGAAAACTAATTAGGACATTGATTGTCTATAAAGACTGAATGTTAATAAGGATATGTATAAGCCCCAAATTATTGATAAACATAAGAATATTTTTATTTAATTGATTTAATAAAAATTGGATAAGTTTAAACAGGAGATGCTAAGTAAACAGCATTTAAACAGTAAATGCTAAGGGGAAAAGAGAGGAAAAATTTAATGTAGTAGCTTGAGATTTATATTGATACTTGTACGTTATTGTATTATCGATTAACCCAGCTGCCATATTGCTTTTTAAATACTGAAATGTAAAACTAGAAAATCAAAACTTTATTTTAAAAAAAGGAGAAACTTCCTAACAGTGAGGACAATTTGCCAATGGAACAGCTTGCCTTCAGAAATCATGAATGCTCCATCACTGGAGGTTTTTACAAAGTGACTGGACAGTCACTTGTCTGAAATGGTATAGGGTCTCCTGCTTGAGCAGGGGGCTGGACTAGAAGACCTCCAAGGTCCCTTCCAGCTCTATTCAAAGCCAAGGATGGGTCACAGGCTAGGTCAAGGAGAAAGAAACTGAGAAAGTGCATGTGCATGCATTTAGTAGTTTTATACTTAATTTATCGATATTTATAACTTCTCTAACAAAATGAAATTCAGTGGTGAGAAAAGTAAAGTTCTATACTTAGGCAAGAAAAACCAAAATGCACAGGTAGCTGGTTTAATAGGAGTAACTGTGACAGGGATCTTAGAATCCTAGTGGATAATTACTTAAATATGAACCAGCACTGCAGTAGCCACCAAAGAAGCTACCGAAATAGAATCAAGATCATGTGAAGTGTTAGTACCACTTTATAGGGCCTTTTAAGATCACATTTGGAATATTGCATCCAGTTTTGATCACTACAGTATAGATGTTGAAACTCTAGAAAGAGTGCAGAGAAGAATAACAAAGATGATTAGGGGACTGGAGGCTAAAACATGAAGAACATTGAAGGAATTAGGTTTGTCTAGCAGCTTAATGAAAAGGATTAGAGGTGACATGATCACCGTGTTCCAATATCCAAGGGTCTGCCACAAGGAAGAGGGGGGGGGTCAACCTATTCTCCAAAGCACCTGGAGGCAAGATAAGAAGCAATGGGTGGGAACTAATCCAGGAGAAAATCTAACCTAGACCTAAGGAGAAATTTCCTGAGAGAACAATTAATTAGTGAAACAGTTTGCCTTCAGAAGTTGTAGGTGTTCCATCACTGGAGGTTTTTAAGAAGAGATTGGACAGCCACTTGTCTGAAATGGTATAGGGTCTCTTGGTTAAGCAGGAGATTGGATTAGAAGATCTCCACGGTCCCTTCCAAGTTTGTTATTTCGTGACCCGTCTTTCCCTCCAAAATGACACTTAAAGTACAGGTAATCTTCGAATTAAATGACCACAACTGAGCCCAAAAGTTCAATTGTTAAGCAGGACAGTTAAGTGAATTTTGCCCTACTTTACTACCTTTTTGCCACAGTTATTAAGTGCATCACTACAGTTGCTAAATTAGTAGCGAGGTTGTTAAGTAATCTGGCTTCCCCATTGCCTTTGCTTGCCAGAAGGTCACAAAAGATGAATACTTGACCTTGGGACACGGCAACCTTCATAAATACTGTACATGCCAGTTGCCAAACATCTTAATTTTGATCATGTGACCATAGAGATACCGCAATGGTCATGTGAAACACAGCTATAAGTCACTTCTTTCAGTGAAATTAGAACAGTCGCTAAATGAATGGTTGTAGTTAGCAAGTTTCATTGATCAGGAACATCTCTGTCCTATCTACATTAATATTAAGGGACGCATCTCATTCCAGTCTAGGGCTGATTTCAGTAGGCGCTTTGAGTTTTGAACAGCTTCCTTGGATTTTAATTTTCAGTGATTTGAGATACAGGTAATCC